TACATTTGTTGTTACAGCTACACCAATTAGAATGGAGCTAAATAAAAACAACAATATTCCCGCAAAAGTCTAAAGTTTGAAAGGAAAAATGCAGCCTCAAATACTACAGACGCAGATTCTTGGAAAAGTTTTACTACTTTAATAAAAGAAACATCTTCATCCCCACCCCAAATATCAAAAACTTTATCTTCTTGTTCTGTAAACTAAATCCAAGTCCCAAAACATTTTTTTCACCCCAAATCAATCTGAATATTGAAAGCCACCAAGAGGGATACAGTAGGGCATACAAAACTTTTGCTAGACCAATTCTTGAATACAGCTCATCTGTCTGAACCCACACTGCATATTGGACATTAATACAATCAAACGAGTCCAGAGATATTTCACGAGAAGAGTCCTCCACTCCTCTGCTTGCAACAGAATACCTTATGCCACCAGACTTGAAATTTTGGGCTTAGACAATATAGAACTTAGCTGTCATCAGTCCGACCTAAGCGTAGTACATAAAATCATCTGCTATAATGTCCTACCTGTCAATGAATACTTCAGCTTCAACCACAACAATACACGAGCACACAATATCTACTTTTTACTTTTTGGGGGCTGCTCTTTTACCCTTTACTTTTACTCCAACCTTTCTTCTTTCCTCCCCTTCTTTTCCTTCCTGCTTCTCCTCCTATTTCCTTCGTTCTTCCTCTCCTCTTTCCTACTTCCCCTTCTCTTCCCCAACTCCTCTCTTCTTTCCCCCTTCAAGCCTTCTCCTCTGTTCCTCTTTCTCCTCCCTTTTCTTCCTCTCCTTTTCCCTTTCTTCTTTCTCCTCTTCTCTCCTCTTCTTTCTTCCTCTCTCTCTACTCCTTGGCGTCATTCCTTCTCTTTCGACTCAAGTTGCTGGCTGCCTTTGCGGTACGCAGCCGGAGCAGCAGCTCTGCCTAGCGACTGGCGTTCTTGCTCTCAGTCGCAAAGCAGCAAAAGATTGCGACTTCCCGCTTGGTCGAGGGAATCTCGATTAGCTCCTTGCTCTAAACAATAATTAAGTCACCTTCTTCCCCCCGCCTATTTTAGAGCCCGAACTTTAGCAGGCTCTTTAAAGCAGGGGTCTCCAACCTTGGCAACTTTAAGCCTAGAGGACTTCAACTCCCAGAATTCCCCAGCCAGCAAAGCAAAGCTGGCTGGGGAATTTTGGGAGTTGAAGTCCTCCAGGCTTAAAGTTGCCAAGGTTGGAGACCCCTGCTTTAGAGGCGCATCTTACTCACACAAGGCCGTGGATGAGAATAACAGCAGGACCAAGGCCGGCCAAAGGACCTCATCGGGACAAGGAGTGAAAAGATCCATCGCCACAGCTGACGGGAGTCAGAGAAACACACTCCTGGAGGTAAAGATAGAAAAGAGCGGCACTCCCAAATATCACCGGATGACAGAAAAATGCACCACCACTTTTCAGGTAAACGAATGTGAGGAACGCCACGCTAATAGTGGGAGTTCAAACCTCAGGTCAAAAACAAAGAAAGTTTCTACAACCGCTCTGCACTGCTCTGGCTGTCAGGTGTAAATGCTGAAAAGCACAGAGCACATGCTTAGGAACAGGACTGTGTTTCCTTGGCCAACAGGAGGCAGGAATAGGATGGGCAGGGATTTGGCATCCCGCTGTAAAAGCAGTTTGTAAAAATGTGCCATTGAAGTCTGAGGGGGGAGGGGGGAATCCACCATGGAGATTATGGAGATGGATCCAGACTACAGAACTGGTTGTTTGAATCTCCCCCAGCTTGTTGGCAGCTGTGGCAGGCTTCAGTTCATAAATGTGGGTAGCATAACTACTATCCATCTTAGACTGTAAAGGTTCTGGAAACTGAAGACCATGTTTGCTGGAGAGTCTCCAACTGAGAAATACTTACTGATGTTGCATGCCTGCAGTTATAGTGGTATCCTCATTGTCATTTTGTTAATAACCTCATAACAATGTTTTTTTTTTAAAAAAAAAATCTGACTATTGACTAGTTTGGTCTAGTATTTAAAACACCAGGCTAGAAATCAAGACAGCATGACTTCTAGTCCTGCCTTAGGTAGCTGGGTTACCTTAGGCCGGGGGGTGGGTGGTCAAACTCATGTGGTCATGGCTGTGTCACGTGACACATTGGGGCTTCCCCCCCTTCGCTAAACCGGGCATAGGCGTGGCCAGCGCATGACACATCCAGCCCGCGGGCCAGGAGTTTGACAGCCCTGCTTTAGGCCAGTCACTCTCACTCAGGCCTAGGCAAACCACATCTGAAATCTTGCCAAGAAAACTGCTGGGAGTAGTCCGGGGGTCGTCAATATTGGCTCAAAGACACAATCATCATCACTGGCATTCAAGGGACGCATTGGAGCAAGGTTGGGAGATGGGGAAGCTCTTAAAGTTCACGAGATTGTAGTGGGCTTGAGGGAATGGGTGTAATAACTGCTGTGACTTAAAAGTTTATGGCAGAATGCAAAGTTGGCATGAGTCTCAGCATTAGTATTGTCATTTTGGCTTTTTTTTTTTTTATGAATATTGGGATCCCCTAAAATGATGAATTAATTTCTGTAGTTTCCCCATTAATAAAACTCAGGCTACCATACATAGTCTACAAGCATTTGGATGGTAGCAAAGAAGTATTGAAAGTGTCTATGGAAATTCTCAGTCATCTGGGTCATGGTTGTCCCAAAGGTGTTTTTTCAAGAGGCAACTGTACTGTCTGGTTTTTCTTTGAAGATGTTTTGTTTCTCATCCGAGAAGCTTCATAACTTCTCTGTCTTCAAAGAAAAACCAGACAGTCCAGCTGCCTCTTGAAAAAGCACCTTTGGGACAAGTACTAAAAGTATAGGGCAACCAACCCTAGCAGAAAGCTAAAAGACAAGTAAGACAGAAAAGTTGCTTTCAGTTGGATAGGAGAAAAAAAGGGGTCTCAAAAGGCTCAAATTGGTCACCTTTTATTCAAAACTTTGTCCAAACTACAGATAATTTTGTTGATAAGTCTCATTAGACAATTTACATCCTCTAATATTTCTGATATAATGCTGTTAAATAAGTTTTAATTATTCGCTACAGATAGTTCTCAACTTACAACCACAGTTAGGACCAAACTTTCCTTTGTTAAGTGAAATGGTGGTGAAGTGAGTCCTGCCTGATTTTATGATCTTTTTTTTGCCATGAATCAGTGCAGTTGTTAAGTGAAACATTCAGTCGTAAAGTGAATCCAGCTTCCCCCATCAACTTGCTTGTTAGAAGCTATCTGGGAAGATGGCAAATGGCGATGTGATCATGACCCTGGGACACTCCAATTGTCGTAAATACATACTGACTGCCAAGCACCCGAATATTGCTTTGAGGGACCTCGGGGAGGCTGCAACAGTGGTAAGTGAGAGGAACAGTTCCAGAGCAACTTTTTTTCAATGCCATTGTAACTTCGAACAGTCACTAGATAGTCCTCGACTTATGGCCACAATTGAGCTGAAAACATACATTGCTAAATGAGAAATGTGTTAAGTGAGTTTTGCCACATTTTGTGACCTTTCCTGCCACATTGGTTAAGTGAATTTGAACTGAATTTACCTTTGAAAGAAACGCCCAGAGTTATTCTGTTTACTTTTTAGCATAGCTATTATAACCTTGGGCTTTGCTCTTGCTGTACAACAAAAAGTCTGTGTGAATACAGCCCTACTCAGGGACTTAAATAATCCTTAAATAAACCGTATGGCAATCTGGAGACAAGCTGGACTTGCTCTTCTTACTTCAGGCCTCTGCATAACTTTGGGTTATTTTTCAGTTATGCCCCCTTTTAGGACCACTGAATTCTGCTGACAATCACTTGTGCCCTTTTGACCTACAGATTGGTTTTACTATTATCTTTATTATTTCATTTTATTTTACTAGACGTATACCAAATAAGGATTGTATTTCATCAGATTAAATGGGAACTATATATGTAGATTCAAAGATCTACTTTTTTTTCTTGCAACTTTTATTTTATTGAAAAGATTGAAATACAAAATCCAAAAGAAGAAAATTAAACAGAGGCAAAATTAGACAAATACATTTATTATTGCTCTAGTTGAGCACTGACAAATCTATTACAATAACTTCCTCCCTTGGAAAGAAGATGCAAAATTTGAGCTTCTACAACTATTTGCAACTCAATTGACCTATTATACATTGCATATATGACAGGAAAAAATAGTAATGAAATGTTGTTTTAGGTTTTTAATTGGGAACTTTCCCAACAATTGCATCTCATTTCCAAAGTTCATAAGTCCCTATTGTAAATATCTCTGCAACATCCATTGTTGAATAATTTTCCTTGGCAGTGCAGCATTCCTCTTGCCAAGAAAATTTGGTCCATCTATTCCATTATCTCAAAAATTCTTATATTCGTATTCTTTTCCATCTTTTCTGGTAGATCTACATTTTTCACACCAAATATTTTTTTCTTTATGTCAGATTAATTTTGTAAGATTGGGTATAATATTAATTTTGATTATTGATAATTATGTAGATCTAAGGAATGAATTTTGTGGTGACATGTATTTTTTATGAGATAAATGTATATACAAATGTAAGATGTATATGTCTTTGAGGTGGGATTTTTTTTGTTATAATGGATCCATCAAATGGAGGAAATATGGGACATTTTTTTTGTTATGGCTATATTAGTAAGGAAATATATTTGATTAAATTTTTGTAACTCTATTAACTAAGTTGAAAGCCTTTCCTCACTTTTCCCCTTCCTTTTTCTTTTTTTCCACTTTTTAATCTTTTCACCTTTTGAATTCCTCCACTTTTTTGTAGTTATTTTGTGTTTCATTTTTCTTGAAATTTAATAAAGTATTTTTAAAAATATGGAACTCGTGAGGTAACCCTTGCTAAGTCTCAGTTCAACTTTCTTAACAAGGCTGCTGTTTGGGGAATAAAATGGGGGTGACCCCTATATTCCTGCTTTCAGAAAAAAATATGGAATATAAATGCAATAAAGATACCAACAAATAAATGGTTTTAGGAGTTTGTATTTTATGCTTAGCAATGAAATAAAATAAATAAATTAAGCAGATACCCAATATAATCAAATAAAATCTTGATAGTTTTTCCTTTTGTTCGGTGTCATGACTTCACCAGCAATTATACAGAACAGCCAGGAGGATAATCAGTTTTCCTAGGAAAAAATGGTAATAAATAATTCAAAACCTTTTACCTGAAGCAAGAATGAAGCAGAAGTTTCATACAACATTCAATGCCATTTTTTACCTCATAGGAAAAATGGTTCCTAAACTATTGCCCAATTTTGGGGAATTAGAAAGATGATTTTTCATATTTGAGTTTCCCTTAAAAAATAAAATCGTCCCAAATTGGGCTGGAGAGACATATGGACAAGCATAGGGTCAAAAACTTTGGCTTGCCATTTCCAGTGATAACATTGTCAGAAGAACGAATAGAGGAGAGGCGAATGGAGAGTGGACAGAAGGGAAGGGAAAGGAGGAGAAAGGAGGGGAGGAGAGGGAGGGGAGGGGAGGGGAGGAGACAGGGGAAGGTGTATGAATGTGTATGTTTTATAAACATCACAGAATAGATCTGAGTCTAGTAGGGATAGTCTGGGGAAAATTACATGTATGTGCCTACTGTTTTTCCTTCCATTAGATATTTCAGCTTTTCCAATAAGAATAATAGAGTAAGACCTCTAAGAAGAAAGGACTGGAAGAAGAATTCTGTGAGTCTTTTTAATCCTTCTGCTATCATTCATATTTACTTTTATTTATTTATTATTAAACTTCTATGTCATCCATCTCACCAAGGAGATACTAGGTGGTTTAGGCCTCTCATTTTCTTTTCCAAACAGGTATAAAAAGATAGGACTGCCAAAAGCAATATCTTTGCTTGCTTTATATCCTTGTGGATTTATAAGGAAGATTTTAAGATTTGTATAGGTTGATGAACATAAATAAAACATGGGTTTTATTTAGAGTATCTGATCTAAACACCCTGGGAGAGAGAAAACATTTTCAATCTAACTGAGATGATGCCTACGTACTCTTCATAAGTTTTCCTTTTTAGATCCTCTAACCCTATTCCAGGTTTTCCTAAGCTTTATAAATTGTGATGCTCAAGACTTATCACAGTAATCCAAATGCAATATGATCAGCATGTATGTAGTGGAACTATTACTTCCTGAAGTAATGTATGTAAGTAGTGGAACTATTATTGATAGTATGAAGGCTATCGCTTAATGCATTGTAAGCCGCCGTGAGTCTCCGGAGAAGGGCGGCATATAAATCAAATTAAAAACAACAACAACAAAACCCCCAACCATTACTTCCTATGAATCTAGACATAAAAGTTAATGCAGCCCAAGAATTTGTTGACCTTAGCAGTTGTTGCATCATATGGTTGCTCATAATGAATGCTTTACTAGAATCCCTAGTAAATCCTTCTCACAGGGTCTATGACAATTCGCCATGGCCAACTTGCCACAACCAACTCGCCACAGCTAACTCTTTGCAGGACAACTCACCACGGCCATCTCACCACAGGACAACTCACTGCAGGACAAGAGTTACACTAATATCAATGAAATGGTAGAATAGAATCATTAAAGAAAGGATTCAAAAGGAGGAACAGAATGAAATGTGAATGGCAAAAATTAAAATAATTTTTATTTATTTGAAATAATTAAATAGAATTGTTAAATTGTCCTGTAGCAAGTTGGCCATGGTAAGTTGGCTGTGGCAAGTTGGCCATGGCATGTTGGCCGCAGCAAGTTGGCTGTGGCAAATTGTCCCGTTCCCCTTCTCACACTCAGTGCTCCCCTGCCAGGACTCCCATGTCCTGTACATTATCCATGTCTATGATTTTTCCTGCCTAGATGCAAAACATTGATTTGTAACCCCTGAACATCACCCAGTTGAATTTGACTCAGTTTTCAATTTTATTCATGTTATTTTGAATTGTGATTTTGCTACAATATCTCCCAATATCCACTCCAACTTGGTGTTATCTGCACATTATTTCTCTTCTGTTCCACCCTTTAGGCTATTTATAAAAGGTTAATTAGAACATAGCCAAAGACAGAGATCCTATTCCAGAGGCTCCCAACCTTTCTGTGAAGATAGGGTTTTCCAAGGACTGAAGGGGTCATGGTTTCGTATGCTGCCTGCATCCCATGGATGGAACTTCACTTGTTTGCTCATCCTGGTTTCTGGCATGCCGCAGCCCAGTGCTGGTCCATGAACCAGGGATTGGGGACCACTGTCCTATTCAATCTTTCCCTTAAGAAAATAGCAACTTAGTCCAATTTAGAGGGGGGGTTGATCTCTAGATGCCACCTTACACCTCTATTGAAAGTAGCTCAAGAACAAAAGCTCCTTCAGAAAAGCAGGTAGGATGCATGGCAGAAATCATAGAAACTGAATTCTTCTGAATGAGAAGAAATATTTTCTTTTCACATGAATGTTCTTGTGGTAACATACTTTTTTATATTTGATTTCATGATCAATATCTTTGTTTCTCAGGTATGGCCTGAATAAGTGCAGGATTTTGTCTATTTCATTTCTATTAAATAATCTGCAGTAAGATTGGGTTCTTGGGAATTTTGACTTTGTTGTGAGCTAGGATTCTGATAACGAGTTTTTGCATATCTAAATAAGTCAATCAATTTTTCACTACCAGGATTCCATTCACATGAAGGCCTTTATATATATTTTGGAGGTTCTGCCTTTAGACTGCCTTTGTTGGACATGTAAGCATTAGTTCACATGCTGATAAACATTCAGGAAATTGTTAGTAAACAGAGAGCTATAAAGTTTTCCATCACTTGCAAAGCAGTTCAGTTCCTCACCACTTCATTGAACAGCCAATTAGAAAAAAAATGAATTTCTGTCCAAGATGATTTAGGGATAAAGTATGAAAAATATTTCAGTTGCTGAAATTCCTGTATTCTTAAAAGGTGTAAATGAAGTTTCTGTGAGAAGTTAAAAAAAGATACTCTCAATTAAGACAGCTGCTAAAGTCTAAATTCAGTGACAACTCCAACATATCAACATTAGAGAGAGAAAGAAAAGTTTACAACACTCAACATGTTGAGTGTTGCATAATACTGAACCTTAAGTGTTTCAATTCCACTGTAATATAGTGTTTAGTTCAGTTATACTGAAATTGGAAAAACTAAAGTTCAAGACCTCACTTGTCTATAGAATTCACTATTTGGGCTTTGGGCAGTCAGAATACATCATGTCAAGCTACCATGTATGAATTATGAACAGATTTTAACAATAAGTAAATAAATATTCGTCATTCATGAAAACAGAATAGCATTGGTTACACTTTGAAATATCTCACCATGTAATTACTTACCAAGTGCTGTAGTTTTGTTGCATTCTAAAACAGAAAAAAGGGGAACGAAAATGAGCTAAACTTTTGAGCCCCATTGGAATCAACATATGCTTTCTCTTTCTAGTTTATTTAAAATATCATTATCTTTGCTAAATAGTAGAGGGCCAGTGTAGTGTGGTGAGTAAAATGCTAGATTATGAATTTTACTATGTGAACTAAAATGGGTACAGTGCACAAAAAGGGGAACCTGAAATAAAGCTGAACAAATACTAGGAGCAATATCACATTATAACCAGTACTATTGAAAACTTTAATCTGAAAGTTTTGGGTTTTTTTTTTTGACTAAATTGATCTCTATTTGGGAAGGTCTAATTTTAGAAGAACCACTTTGCACAACAGATAGAAATATGATGCTGAATATGAAAAATGGACTTGGTTGTGTCTATGTTGCTTGGAAGGATACAAAGATTGTACAACTGTTTCCATACAAGCATTGCTGAATTGAAGAAAATGCCATTTTTGTTTGTTTCTTTTCTTTCTTTCCTAAGTCTTTTATTACAAACTGCCAGAGTTTTCACTATTTGAAAAGAAACCATCTTTCTGGTGCAAGTACAATAGCTCACCTCAGACTATTTCAGTCTTACCTGCATAATCTTCTAAAGTAGTATTTGGCTTGTTTGTAGCAGTATTTGGCTTGTCAAAAATTCCTGTTTGAAAGAAAATGTTGATAAAATAAAAGTCAAAACATACAACCTAGAGAGGTGAGAAGGAATTATTTTTAGCAATATATAAAGAAATATGTAGCTGCTTTCTTGCAGTTTTTTTCCTTTCTTTTTTCTTTTTAGTTGATATTTTTTATTGTTCTATTTAAAACTTTTAATAAAATCATTATGAAAAATATTTTAACTCTAAGAAAATGAGAGCCAAATAAATTCTTTCTAAAGAAAACAAAAGCCCTACCTTTTAATGCAAATCTGTGATATAGCAAATAAATAAATAAAAATAGTATGATGAGTTCTTCTCAATAATGAACTCAAAGAAAAAAAAATGTTTCCACCTAATGAACATCCATATTAGGTTACACATATACAGTAAGCTGGTAAAATTGCTTTTATATTTTAAAAAATAGATAAAATACAGTCTAAAAACATATTACAGATAACAGACTTATATGATGCATAAAAAGGCAATTTTAACTGCAAAAGTTGTGTATAAGAGTGAAAACTATATTAATAAAGGAGGGATAAAATCTAATTAATAAATATTGATATTCAATATACAGTAGGATCATAAATACTCCAGTCCCAAAAAATTAATATCAAGTCTAAAAAAACAAGCTTGTAAGAACAATAAACTAAAGCCCTGGGAATAATATCCTGTCATTTTGCCAAAGATTTAGCTTTCCATTAATTGGTTTCTTTTCAGTTTTTTTAAGGCTACATGTTTCCCCCCCCCCCCGCATTTCTTTCTTTCTTTTTGGGGGGATCATATAACTATAATTTAGACTTTTTTTTAAAAAAGGGGGCATTCAAACAGGGTGAACATTGTTGAAAAGAAAACATTTGCTGGGATATATTGTTAGCCACCCATATTCCACTATATACTATATACTATTGCAGTATTTCTTTTTTTTTAATTTTTTTTTATTTTCAGTATTTCTTATTTTTGTTTATTTATTTAAAAAAATATATAGCTGCCTACTTGCTCACATGACTCTAGGAACCTTACAAACAATAAAAACATAGAATAGAATATATATATCCCCTCCCCCCAGTGATAACACACGGCTAAATAAGCTATTTGATGGGCTCCATCACACTCTGGGTTCCCCAAGCCAGTTGGCAAAACCAAGCATTCAGGGCCTTATGAAAGGCTGACAAAGTCTAATTTCTGCAGGGACAATGTTCCAAAGGGTGGAAGCCATGACAGAGAAGGCCCTTATTCTGAATCCCAACAGATGTACATCCTTAGGGGACAGGACCTGAAACATTCTCTCCCTATTCTAGTGGGTCAGGTGAATGTGAACAGCAAGAGACAGTCTCTCAGATAACCTGGTCCCAAGCCGTGAAGGGCTTTAAAGATGACAACCAGCATCTTGAATTGCAGCCAGAAGCAAATCGACAACCAATGCAGCTCCCACATGTGCACATCAAGGTCTGCACAAAACCATGTGGGCAGCTGTATCATAGTAGTTTCATGACACTGTCCCCATTGTTATTTTAAAAATTCCTCCCTCATGCAGGGACCACAAAGTTTCAGAAATTATATAATGATTTGCTTCTGCAAGAATTTTATTTACCAATGACAGCAATTAAAAAAGCTGTTTAACTAATTAAAGGTTAAGGGCAGTTCTAAAGAGGTGAATTTCAATTGCAAGCATTCAGTCTAGGAATGATGGAAGTCTAGTATATTGGAAACCCACCCATTTGAAGTGTTATATAAATTAGGCAGAGTAAGTTGCAAGACTTTTGGACATGGCAGTAGATTAATAAAAGGCCCATATGAGATGGAAAGGATAGCCATTGTGGTTGAGCATGATGGAGATTGTAATCAAACACACCTGGACTCCCCATGTAGAGGAAGTTGGAGCTAACCTGACAACCAGAGCTGTTGCAAAGATTCCTAGGTATTTCAGGGATTCTGAAATACTAAAAGATGCATTTTGGGAAACAACTGTCCTTCTTCTTGATTACTTCTTTCAATTGGGGTTTGCACCTGATCTTATCTTAGCTCCAGGCCTCAGTTTCCAGCTCCAACCCTGGCAAGGGCATATGTGGAAACCCCCTCAGGAGAGCAAGAATACATCAATGTACTGTAGCTTGCTTACCACTGAAAAGCAACTGAAGCATTGGCCCATTACTACTCTCTGCCCATCCTACTGGCTGACCTTCCACATGCTGCCCTCCTTGGGTCAGAAATACATTTGCTGGGACTTATGTTTGGTGGGTCCCAGGCAGCTAGCCTTCTCTACTGTTGCCCCAGCCTTCTTGCATATAAGGTTACCTCCATGCCATTTAATGTTCCAGAGATTCCTCAAGATGTCCAAGGCAGGGGTGGGTTCTAAATATTTTTACTACCGGTTCTGTGGGTATGGCTTATTTTGTGGGCATGGCTTGATGGTCATGTGACTGGCTGGGCGTGGCCAACTCAATGTCACTCACGTCAAGGGGTGCCTCACCTGGCCCCTCCCCTCCCAGCCATTCCTTTTCACACCCAGCCTCAACATATCTACAGTTCTGTAAAAATGTTGTTCACCTTTTTTCAACTTTATTATCTACATACTATAGATGTACTTTCATGGACCACTGAAAAGAGGAAATGGCTCACATGCTTTGCCCAAGAGTGTGATAGGCAACAGGCTTTTAAGGGGCTGCCAGAAGGGAGGGACAATGTATTTTCCAAAGCACCAGAAGGCAAAACAAGAAGCAATGGATGGAAACTGAACAAAGAGTGAAGCAACCTAAAACTAAGGAGAAACTTCCTGACAGTGTAAATCAATATAGGCGCAGAAATATTTCAGTCATAATTTCACATATAAAATAGCCATTCGTGTAATACAACCTGCATATTGTTCAAAACAGTCATTAGTATTATGGCTGATGTTTGACAGCAAGCCTAAAAGTCACAGATCATAAGAGTGCTTCTTTTTCTGTATGTATACAAAACATCACATACCAGGAATAGCATATTAAGATGGACTTATGCAACCTGATGTAGAAATAAACACGCACATATTTATGCTCTGAACTATAGTCATTGAATGCATATAAATCCCTGAAAAATATGTGGTAGCCCTGGGCAAAAGAAAGGTAGTAAAATCATTCTACGTGTAGGGACAGTGTGAAATATTAATACATGATAAATAATCGAACAATTAAAAATAATAGCACAGAGGGTTTCTCTCTCTTTCTCTCTCCCTTCCTTCCTCTTTCTTTCTCTTCTATCTCTCTTTCTTTCCCTCTTTCTTTCTTTCTTTCTTTCTTTCTTTCTTTCTTTCTTTCTTTCTGGCTGTCTCTTTCTCTCTCTCTCTCCCCCCCCCTCTCTCTCTCACTCACACACACACACACACCTGGTCTGTTGTTACAGAAGTATCTGTTGTTACAGAAGTTCTCATTCTCTCTATAATACACCTCATACTAATCGATACCCTATCTCTCAACTATGTAAAGCCTATGCATGTTTACTTGGCAGTAAGGCTACTCTCTTTCAGTGGGAATTACTCCTAATAACACATGATTGCAGGCAAACAGCTAGCTCAGTTGTTTAATAGGCTGTAAATAAAATTTCTACATTAACAAAATTTATAGCTAAACAACAGAATATAGGAGCAAAAAATCATAGCAATAGTCTGAGCTATGCTTTTCTTCTTTAAATGGAAGTACTACCCATTTTAACCAGACATTAAGACTCATTAGTTTGGAATACTAGTATGGCTTGCACTGAACTTTGGCAGTACTTGTTTTCCTTACAAACTAGCTCAACTTTCTTTCCTTTAAATCTTGCTTTCATTACACACCGCCGGCTTCGGGAAAGAGAGTGGATTGGGGGGGGGGGAGAAACCCTTTGGAAATAAAAGCGCAGCAAGAGAAAAGGGGAAAGTCTGGATTCTGGACTCCGACCCTTCCCCGAGCCGGGAAGTCCTTTTCATCTCATTCTTCCCAATCCCTTCCCTTCCCACTCCTGGATCCTTCTCCCCCCCCCCTTTCTTTTGCTTGAAACTCCTTTCAGGGTGGGAGGGAAAACCAAATAAAAACAGGAAGGAAGCAAGGACAAAAAATGGTGCATGGCTGCAAAACAGAAGGCATTTTTCAGCCGCTTTCTGGGACTGAAAAGTTGAGGGGACCCAAGGAAGCAGCATCCAGCCGAGACTAAGAAGACCCCCCACTCCACCCCCTACCACCCCATGCTGCCTTCTTTTTCTCTCCCCCCTCTCTCTCTTCTCTCTCCCGGGAAGAAGGGGACTAACCTTAAAGAAAAAAGAAAGCTCTGCTGCTGAGCAGAGAAAGCAGTAGCTGGGAAAGATGTTGCTATGGAGTTAAAACAATGAAAAAAATGCCCTTCCTCTGTTCCTACCCTCCCTCTTTTTCTCCCCACCAGTTTCTTTTAGCTTTGGCTCCGGTGCCAAAAGTGGGAATTCTCTTTTGTTTGTGAAGTCCCCCTCCTTTTTTTCCTGCCCAGCTGGAGAAAAACAGAGGGCTGCTGCTGCCCCTATCAGTCCCAGCACAGTGGCTGCACGCAACACCACTGGCCAGCAGGGAGAGGGGAGCAAAGCAAAGCTTGCTGAGCTCCCCCTCATCCCCTGCCCCACCTGCCACCCCCAAATTGCACCCCACTGCGAGACGCGCATTTTACTAGAGAGTGGCAGTTCTGGGTCATCTCTCAGCCATTGACTGCAGGGAGTGCGAGGCAATTAACTTCTCGCACTCAGGAGAAGTTTTCCTTTACTTTGCAAGGTTTTTCCCTGCACACAACGGCTGAGAGACGACCTGGAGCTGCCAGTCTGCGCTCTGCCAGGTAGGCAGCAGAGCGAGTAAGCCAACGATCTGCTGGCTTCCTGTAATCTGCAGTTTACTCATGAGCACCATGCTCACGAGTAAACTTGCTCATGAGTAAACTTGCTAACAAGTAAACTGCAGATTAGAGGCAGCCAGCAGATCGCAGACTACCTCCTGCCTCCGTGCATCGAGGAGGCCGAGCAGCAGCGGTAAGAGCATGAGACAGGAGGCGCAGGAAGTGGCTGCCAGCGATGCCCTCAGGTGAAGATGTTGTGGGTGGAGAGGCTCGACCTCCCCCCACTTAGGAGCCTCAGTTTACTCGTGAGCACCATTGGACTTTCACCCTGCCTCTCCCTGCCAATGTTGCTCACGACAACTGCAGCTAGGATCTCCCTCGTGCTTCCCTCACAGGCCAGGCCAGCTGTGGGAAATGCACGGGAAGAGCTCCGATGCCGCGATCTCCCGTGTGCTCCCCTCCCTCCCTGTGCATCGGTCCACCACCCACTGCTGGTATCACCCCTCCACCAGGTCTCCCATCCCTGCCCACCTGTACCCTTCAGCCTTACCTTTGCCAGCAGCGGTGAACAGAAGTACAGGGAATTAGAATTAGAGTTAGATTCTTCAAGTAGTGGCTTGGTGGGGCTTCGCCCGCATGCGCGCTCCGCGCAAGCGCATTAGCAATCTGCCCAGCTGAGGTGCGGCAATCCACTCTGCCGCATCTATCAGCTGGGCTAAAAAAGAAGAAATAAAAAGTAAGAATAATGCGGGCGGGGGCAGGCGGAAGGGCCCAGCTCCCGGACAAAGATAACCGGTTTGGTGATGTCATATTGGCACTGCTACCGGCTCGGCTGAACCGGGCCAAACCGGGAGGAACCCACCACTGGTCCAAGGTTATGCCATTAGACCTTGGCAGTGGTGGGTTGCTCCCAGTTTGCACCGGTTCGCAAGAACCAGTAGTAAAAATTTGTAATAGTTCGGAGAACTAGTAATAACATTGGCTGGCCATGCCCCCGAACTGGTCCCCGGCCAGGTCGCTGCTTGCTTACCCTGCCCTCATTAGAGGCTTTTTCTTTTTTTTACTTTTAAAAGCATTTTTTCTACAACTTCTTCAGCCAAAAAAATGCTTTTAAAAGTAAAAAAAAAAGCCTCTGATGATTGTGCAGCTCAGCTGGGATCGTCAGAGGCTTTTAAAAGCATTTTTTTCTACAATCTCTTCGGCTGAAGAGGTTGTAGAAAAAAAAAAACCTTTAAAAGCCTCTGGCGATCCCAGCTGAGTTCCCTGATCGTCAGAGGCTTTTAAAAGCAATTTTTCTGCAACCTCTTAAGGTTGTAGAAAAAATGCTTTTAAAAGTAAAAAAAAAAAAGTTGGCCACGCCTACCCAGTCACCTTACCCCCCACCAAGCCACATCCACAAAATAAGCCATGCCCACAGAACCGATAGTAAAAATTAGAATTTGAGGGTGAAAGAAGATACTGTTTATAGAAATATGAATAGAAAAATTAAGATTTGATTAACAAATATGGAAAAAGAACACTTTGGCAGAAACTAATTAAATAAAATATATTTGGATATGATAATTTGTATATGATATGATATGATATGATCAATACTCTGTTTCAAAAAATATGTGGATGTTATTGGGGGGAGGCAACTAATAAAACTTGTCTAAAAAAGAAAAAAGGTTAGCTAGCAGTTCAGTTGAACTGGTGTAAACCAGCTGAATCCCACCACTGGTTGTATGTGCAAGAACTTCCATATACAAGGAAAGACTAGGAATAAATCAAGTTTCACTTAGCACGGAGAACTTTATAGATATAGGGGTATTTCCAATAGTTCCTAAGACCTGAACTTCATTAATGATTCTGTTATAATTCATTATAATTCACATAATAATTCACCTATAGTTATCGTTTCTTATCATCTGAATGAACAATGGTGACCACTATAAGTCTACTTGTAAGAAAAGAGTGAGTAGCAGAGGCAATAACCAGAGAAAAGAGAAAATGATGATTCAGGTTAATCAGGCAGAAAGTTCTGTGTTAAATGTCAACCAAACTCTCCTGTAAGGCTGTAAAATAGTTACCTTTGACACATTTGGGGATGGCAGGAACCCACGAACTGTTAGCCCCACATTTAATATGGAGGCTTCCCACAGCAGAATAGCCGGAATTACATTCAAAGCTGATGGCTTCATTATAGGTATATGAAGGCTTAGGTAAATTAATTAACTTCCCATTTTCCACTTTTGGTTGATCACATTTGACGTCTGAAAAGAGAAAGCAGCATTTAAACAGAACCTGCTCAGAACAAAAGCCTATAAATAAAAACAATCAAGAGCTGCTCTTGGCTAAAAAGGATATATAATTAGCAGTTGCTTTTATTTTTCTTTCTTCTATTAGTATCGGGTATTAAGACCCTACAAAATAATATTTGATTAATCTTTTATTCATTTTGTCCTCGCCTTATGAACTCAATTGAGCCCAAATTTTCTGTTGCTAAGAGAATTTTGCCCCATTTTATGACCTTTCTTACCACAGTAGTTAAGTGAATCACTGCAGTTGTTAAATGAGTAACACCGTTGTTAAGTGAATCTGGATTCCTCACTGTCTTTGATTGTCAGAAGATCACAAAAGGGGATCACGTGACCATGGGACATTGCAGCCATAATAAATATGTGTCAATTGCCAAGGATACAAATTTGGACCATGTGACCATAAAAATGCTTCAATGGTCGTAAGTAGGAAAAATGGTCATAAGTCACTTTTTCAGAGCCATTGCAACTTCAAATGATAACTAAATGAACTGTGGTAAGTCAAGGACTACCTGTACTACCACTACTACTGCCTGTTTTGGGGTTTTAAATGGTTGCTCATCTAACCTAGTAACTGTGTTGGATGATTGTTACTAATTATTGCTGCAGAAACTGGAAATCTCAGTAATTTTGCAAGCAATGACCAATATATATTATATAGACATTGTTCAACATCGTTCATAATGAATCTGAATGTTATTATCTTTCAATAAGCAGCATATTTATTTCTGTATAATGTCAGAGTGCGCATAGTGTGACTATTTGAGACAACCCAGGAGCAAATACAGCAAACCGAGGTTTGTAATAATAAATAGTGGTTTTATCTACAAAGTATAGCTATTAAAGCATGGAAGCACACACAGAGAGAGAGATACACCTCAACAGGGCCTCTCTTATAATACAGATACTAAAGTGGTAACAGTCAAAGAACCCTGCTGACTCATTCCTACCATTGCATCATCATTACAGTATTACAGCATCTGGTCAGGTATTAAATCATCATTAGCCTGACACATACTATATAGGGATTTTATAATATTTTATACTACGTGCTACTGTAGTATTTCTCATAGTTGTCTTGTGAATTCCACTCTCCATTTAGGCCATCTTCTGCAACTAAGTATGTGATCATTGACTTTCCAAACAGGGAAGATCAGTTTGATAGATTACTACTCATCCATAGTAATATTTGTAATTAGAATCAGGAATTCTCTCATGCTGAAGGCAAAGGTTGTCTGAAGCAGGAAGTCATTTCTTTGAATTAACCTTTTAATTAGATCAAAATTATAGTTAACATATCGGCTATACATTATAAACTATTACAATGTTTCTCAAAGTTGTTTATGATACTGTCGCCTTTGTTATTTTTCAAATTCCCCTCTCATTCAGGGACCACAGAGCTTCAGAGATTATGTAATGATTTTCTCCCTGCAAGAATTTTATTTACCAACAACAACAGCTACTGTAGAAAAGCAATTCAGCTGATTAAAGACATTTTCATTTTTCCTTACTTTTACATTCAGGGACTGGTAAATTCCACTTTCCATTTAGGTCATCTTTGGCAGTTATGCATGTGAGGGTTGAATTTCCAATCAGGGAGAAATCACGGTTGCAGCGGTAGATTACAACTGATCCAACGTAATATTCGTCATTAGGGTTAAGATAAATTTGTCCATTGAGAATATTGGTAGGACGAGTACAAGAGATGTCTGAAGGAGAGAGAATGATTTCTCTAAAGTAACCTTTTAACTGGAATTCACTTTGGCACTGGAAGAATATTCAGGGTGTTTCAAAGGCTCACTAAATTACAGGCAAGTACCGTATTTTTCGGTGTATAAGATGCACCGGAGTATAAGACGCACCTATATTTTGGGGGAGGAAAACAAGAATTCTACCTCTGCCTACCAGCATTTTGGAATGGTCTGGGGGGAATCAGAGCCACGTTTCAGGTGGCGGGTGGCCAGTTCCCCTGCAATGTGCAGTGGGGAACTGGGAACCATTTTGGATTTGGGGAGGGGATTGCAGCGCTGCCTCCCTAAAGTGCTTTTCTTCCATTGCACATTCCCAACAGGAAGAAAAGCACTTTCAGGAGGCAGTGCTGCAATCCCCTCCCCAAATCCAAAATGGTTCCCAGTTCCCCTCTGCACATTGCAGGGGAACTGGCCGCCCGCCACCTGAAACATAGCTCTGATTATTGCATTGGGGAATCCGGGCAGCGGTGGCTGGAAAGGAGGGGCGTTTTACTTTAGGAGCTCCCGTTCATCTTGCTCGGCTCCTGGGCACAGAGAGGCGGCAGCTCCTCACATTGCAGGAGAACTGGCTGCCCACCGCCAAAAATGCGGATCTGATTATTGCATTGGGGAATCCAGGCAGTGGTGGCTGGAAAGGAGGGGAGTTTTTCTTTAGGAGCTCTCATTCGGCTCGCTCAGCTCCTGGGCGCAGAGGGCTTAGACGGCAGCTCCTCACATTGCAGGGGAGTGAAGTCATTGTGGCCATTGCCTGCCCTAAGCTGCCTGCTGGGCGGCCAGAGGGGTGACCAGCCACAAATCGTGGCACCCACCTTGTTCCCTGAAGCTGCCGGGCAGATTCCCCCCCCCAGACTGTCCCGAAGAGGGTTGTTCATCAGGCTGTGGCCCGACCCAGATCCCTGCCGCCTGGAACTACCCCAAAATGGCCAAAGGGTGGGGACTGACGGGTGGGCGGGGCTACATTCGGCATATAAGACACATCCAGATTTTCACCCCCTTCTGGGGGATAAAGAGGTGCGTCTTATACACCGAAAAATACGGTAAATTAAAAGAGAAATGTTCTCCTTCCACGGCATCACTGCAACTTTTTGGAAGCTGCAGCAATAACCAGTGGCATAAACTTTAATGACTTTAAAGTAAAATCTTCTCTTACGTTCGCAATGTGGGAATTCTCTATTCCAGTCAACCTTGCCATCTTTTAGAATACACTTAAGTGTAGCTTCACCAATAACCCTATACCTAAAGACAAAGAAAAACGATTCAGAATATACATTTCCAAATCTCATGTTGATATCACTTAAGAATGGTAAGAGAGCAAGATGTGTGGTATTCAGATTTTAAAAATGATCAAATAAATAAACAAAACAATGATGGTAAAAATATTTAAAGAAAAGGAAGTATTAAAGAAGCTGGAGTCCCCGAAACAGTTTTTAAGAAGCAGGTTAAAAAAGTCTCAGACAAACAGAACCAAATGCTGTCTAGGTGAATGTTCCACAGTTGGGAGGTAAGGACTCATTCCTCAGTAAATGAATTATGTTTATACATACAAGCAGCAGGAAGATGTACTTTTCTTGATTTATATACAAAAACTGAGGATGAGGTAGACTGTTTATATGTTTTTACATTTGAGAAGAACAATTTAGAACAAAATTAATTTTATTTTAAACTGATTTTTGTGACAATTACTCCTAAGGCAACTGTTTGGAGATGAACTACAACTCACCCATATACACAGGAGATAGTTATATTACCACCAAGACGGATGTCGTTATCATCATGAGCAACTGGGTTGCTGTTGTTTACATTTGGAGCAGGACATTTTTTCCCTAGAAGAATAATTAGCATGCATGTTACTCTCTCAGTTTAATGTAGAAGTCATTCAGATCTGACATATCACAGGATGGGAACAAGGGTCCCCACAATCATGGGGACCAATCATGTGGGAATGCAGCAAGTCTACCTCAGCATGGTAATGCTAATCTAAATCCAGGCTGATTTGACAAACATCTCTCACTCCTGCAGTAGAAAGACCCAGCTCCTTCCAGGGCAACTAAAGCATCTGCAGAACTGCAGGCTTACCTCAAAATGATAAAAGCAGGCTAGCATTGTTACAATGTGTGTCAACCCTGTCATAACCTTCAGTGGCATCATAATATCTCTGACAAACGGATGGCACTGGCGCTGGAACAATGCAAAGTAGCTAGTTTATCTAAAGCTACATTGAGATCGATATATACAGTATATATTGAGCTATATACTCAGCTATATTGAGATCGATATATACAGTAAAATGAATTTTAGAACGAAGATATTTCCAAATATATCAATTCATGATGTTGATATTATTGATTTATTGATAAGTATCAATAAACAGAATTACTAAATTAATATCATTAATGCTCAATATAATATTAATTAAAGATTGACTAGACAAAACAACAAACATTGACTAATTTAGATGATATGAAATAGTATACACATCTTTGAGCTTAGTGCCACAATCTACAGCACCATATTTTTATTTGGAAATGCTATAAATAAACAGAAGAAGAAAAAAAATCTACTAAAATAGGATATATAAGTGAGTAATCTTGGAACTCCAGAAATAATTCTGTCTCCTGCCCTATTCTTAATCCTATCTCTTTATTGCCTCTTTCTGATGAAAGAGCATGTGGCTCTTTCACCCTTCTGTTGTGGCTCCCTGTCACTCAAAATATGCATCACAACTGCCAACGTGCAACACCACCAGCGCATGATTTATTGAGCTTTTCAAACCCCGGTAGGCCAGGCATGGATAAATCCAAGAAAAGAAAAGTTTCAGAAGAAAATAGAACATTTAATTTATCTACATACACTACTTTTGTGGGCGCTTAAGAAATAGTCAGGCACAGGCTCCTGGTATTTTCTTTTCTGTGGGAAACGGGTCCAAATGGCTCTTTGAGTGTTTAAGGTTGCAGACCCCCTGATCTAGTGCAATGGCATGGGATTTTATGTAGGGAAGTTTATCTGTAATTTCAAGTTGTAAGAGATTGTCTTCCTCAAGACAGAAGTGTCAGTACTCAAATTGATCCCTGATTGCAGAGGATACATCCCCTAAAGATTAAACTCCTGTCCATATAAGATAGTTTTCAGAAAGTAAGGCATTTGTTATCCCTGTTTCTTCATTATTAATTCACCGTATATATTAGAATGCTAAGATTCTCATCTAGGATATATGAAGCACTGGTTTTGGACTTTTACTGGATTTTATAATGATCTTTTTGGGAGGAGCAAATGAAGTCCGATATATAGGAATAATAAATATGGACGATCTGTTTTTCAGAATGAAACCATCATTAAGATACTCACCCTGACACAATGATGAAATGTCAGACCATTTGGAAGTGTTCAGACATGTAATTGAGGAGTTAATTCCGGGGATATATTCATAACCTGTGATGCAATGGTATGTCAGGACAGTTCCAACCGGATAGCCTTCTTTTGGGATCTCTTCCTTTAGTGCTGAGTGGAGTGGTGGTACTGGGGAGGTGCAGTTAGCTGGAAATTGATGAAAAGCTTTTGAAGTAGTAGTAGTAAAGAAACATTTATAATGAAATCATGGGATGATTTAAAAGATGCAAACCATCTGTATAAAAGAGACCAAATTCTAACAAAACATTCTAGCTAAATTTGTCCAAATATGGCCAGCTTCAAGGACCTTCTTTGTTTTCCTTTTTTTAAAAAAACAAGTTTTATTTTTTAAAAAAATTCTTTCATCATACATATTTTATGAACAGAGTGCTGACCGGGTCACATCTTATACATTTTATACTTAATCAAAATCATAATTATAATATATCTTTATCTCCCATATTTCATCTCTTTTGTATAATCCTTTATCACAAATTAATCATATTTCTCCATATCTTATTATTTCAACTTCTGCCATATTATTTTCTTTCTTTATTTTTTATCATTTTCAATTTTATATTTTAATAACATCACTTTATGCCTTACATTTGTCCTCAATTACAATTACTCCAGTTATTTACCATCTTTCTTCATTTCTGGCGGTATCTCTCTAATTCCTTCTTCCCAATCTTTAGCATTAAAATATACATCTTAATTTACATTTATCAAAATTAATAATATTATTGAATTACTTATTTTCACCTTTCCATCTGCTTTGGTTTATTTTTTATTTTTTATTTTTATTTTTTTATTTGATTTATATGCCGCCCTTCTCCGGAGACTCAGGGCGGCTTACAATGCGTTAAGCAATAGCCTTCATCCTTTTGTATATTTATACAAAGTCAGTTTATTGCCCCCACAAACTGAGTCCTCAATTTACCTACCTTAGAAAGGATGGAAGGCTGAATCAACCTTGAGCCTGGTGAGATTCGAACTTACAGTAATTGCAGACAGCTGGTTTTAATCACAATGCTATTAGTCTGCTGAACCACCAGGTTTATCACAAACAAGATCTATTCATTCTTCTTCGTAAAAATAATTGCTTTCATGATTTCAACATTGTTATTCTCTAGCTTTTTAAATGTTCATCTTAATTTACATTGTTATCAAAATTAATAATATTGTCAAATTACTTATTTTACATTTCTATCTGCTGAGATTTAGTGTAGACAACTTCTATTCATTCGTCTTTATCATATAATCACTGTTAATTTCTTGTTTCTTATTTAAAATCTTCCAACTCCTCATTTTCTTTTTCTGCATATTTAAATGAATGTTCTATTTCTTTTTTGCCTATTAAAGATTCACACATGCTTTTAAACATCAAAAGTAACGCTTCATACATCTGCAACTCCATTTTATAACAATTTAAAAGGTTATTAATATCTCCCCAATTATATTTCTATGTATCTATGTAATTAGCCAAAATTTAAAGTCTATTTAATTTTCTTATATCTCCTCTTCTTTTCTTCTTTTCTTCTTCAATTATTCTTTTCTTCTTCAAAATTAAAAAGATTATTAATTATTGTCCAAATTCTTCAACAGTCAAATCCAATTAAAAAGCTATCCTCCAGAAGAGAAGGAAAATGAAACAAACACCCAAATGTAAACACAGTCACTCCTTAAATGTTCTCACATTGTCCAAATTATCTTCTTCTATATGGCCAAGGTCGAAATTTCCAGCTGCTATTTCTTCTGTTTTGTCTATTTGAATAAAGTATTACAGTACTTTTTCTTTCCTCCAGCAGATGGCACTCTCCATTTCTACTCTGTTACAAAATAGTCTATCAAATCCAATTGTTTATCAAGATATCCAGAAATCTTTTAAGGTCCTCTTATAAATTGTTGTTTTCTTCCGAAAATCATTTTTTTCCTTTTTGAAATATTTTGCTTTTCCCAATTTTCCAAATGTAAGACTTCCACTTAGATTCTTTGTATTACAGTCAACACAACAAATCACTGTGTAATTTTTTTCCCCCAATTGCCAGATAGCCGCTAGTCCAAGCTCAGGAATTCTTTTAAAACATCATTTTTTCTTAGTATAAATTGGCAGTTAACTCACCCAGTTCTACCACTCCATACACACACTGTTTCTGCTCAGTTCTTCAGTCCAGTTGTCCCAGCTACAACGTGGCCACCATAAGATGGCCGCCGCTCCTGCTGCCGCTTCAGGAGAGCTATTTCTGTTCCAGCAAGGAAATTGCCAATTCCTCGCGGTCCATCAAACGCCTTTACTTTCTTCACTGTCCCTACAAGACAGCTGTGGCTCAAAAGCCTCCCAGCAGTGGTTCGTCTGGCTGGATTTTGCACGGCTCATCAGAGCCCGCTATTTTTCCATTCCATTCCCGCAGCGACATCAACTGGAAATTAGGACCTTCTTTGTTTTTTCCATCCATATTGTATTAGCGCAATTCACAATAAAGCCAACAGCAGAAGCCAATATGTTGTACATCAAAAGATATTGAAACTTCTCTTAGTAAAATTGCCCCAATATTACATGAATATCAGACCAAAAAGGGGCATGTCAGTTTTGGAAGACAATTTTCTTTTTTGCTTCTTAACTGCCCACATACTTTAGTTGAGGAAGTTGGGAGGGAGTTGTTGTTGGAGCGGTAGAAAGTTAGTCATAACAACATTCCGTACTCAAGGACTTTTGCCTGACTTTTGCCTGCGTCTAATGGAGACTGTCGGAAGATTGTATCCAGTTGAGTTTGAAGAGTTGATTGGACAATGTGTGGGGCAGGGCTGTGAACTGTTAACTGGGTGGAGAAAACCTGGAAGCTTTCAGATTCAGGTTTTCCCAGATGTGCCAACATGACATCTCTAATAAATTGGAACTTTGAGGAACCTTAGGCCTCAGAGCTTTATTTCGTTGGGGGTGTTCCATTAAACAATAGTGCTTAAAGTTGTTAATTACTGCAGAAAACATAATAGATTTGAATTTTTGCCTTTCGTGGCATGGTGCCTTGTGTGCCTGATCCCATTCTGAAACTATGTATCAGGTGGATTCAGAAATCATTTGGATTTTGTGAACTTGTTAAATAATTTGTGAACTCAGTTTATAAAGCATGCTTTATAGTTTAGCTATATCCACCTACACTGGCATGTCAAACAAATTATAGTTGAAACCAACGATGGATTACCACAATGTATTTATTGTTTTCCTGACCATCCTTTGTTCGCACTATGGCTAGGCAAAAGCTCTACTTATATAATTCAGGTTTGGAATGAAGGTGTAATAAGTGAGTGTGCAAAATCACGCCTGGACAGAGGCCACTGGTTATGGAGTAAGCTTCAGAGGAAGCCTCCATCTTTCTGCTTTCCAATATTTGATCTCGTATTTCAGTCTCTTCCAGTAAAGAAATTTAACTAAATGGAATCCTAATCTGTGACTATGAACAAGAGCAAGATAGTAAAATACCACATTCTGCAAGGGCCAATCTAACTAATTCAGAAAGAGGAATGAGGTGTGCAAGAAGACTTTGCTTTCATGACCAAAATGATTTGTGTACATATTTCTGTTTTGAAGAAACTGACTTATTACGATTTAACTAAAAGGGTTGTATGTGCAAGGACCTTCTTATACAAGGAAAGACTAGGAATAAATCAAGTTTCACTTAGCACGGAGAACTTTATAGATATAGGAGTATTTCCAATAGTTCCTAAGATCTGAACTTCATTAATGATTCTGTTATAATTCATTATAATTCACATTATAATTCACCTATAGTTATAATTTCTTATCATCTGAATGAACAGTGGTGACCACTATAAGTCTACTTGTAAGAAACGAGTGAGTAACAGAGGCAATAACCAGAGAAAGAGAAAATGATGATTCAGGTTAATCAGGCAGAAAGTTCTGTGTTAAATAGTTACCTTTGACACATTTGGGGATGCCAGGAACCCACGAACTGTTAGCTCCACATTTAATATGGAGGCTTCCCACAGCAGAATAGCCGGAATTACATTCAAAGCTGATGGCTTCATTATAGGTATATGAAGGCTTAGGTAAATTAATTAACTTCCCATTTTCCACTTTTGGTCGATTACATTTGACGTCTGAAAAGAGAAAGCAGCATTTAAACAAAACCAGCTCAGAACAAAAGCCTATAAATAAAATAATCAAGATTTGCTCGTGGCTAAAAAGGATATATAATTAGCAGTTGCTTTTTTTTTCTTTCTTCTATTAGTATCGGGTATTAAGGCCCTACAAGATAATATTTGGTTAATCTTTTATTCATTTTGTCCTCGTTTTATGAACTCAATTGAGCCCAAATTTTTTGTTGCTGTTAAGAGAATTTTGCTCCATTTTATGACCTTTCTTACCATAGTTGTTAAGTGAATCACTGCAGTTGTTAAATGAATAACACCGTTGTTAAGTGAATCTGGATTCCTCACTGACTTTGCTTGTCAGAATAAATATGTGTCAATTGCCAAGGATACAAATTTGGACCATGTGACCATAGGAATGCTGCAATGGTCGTAAGTGGGAAAAATGGTCATAAGTCACTTTTTCAGAGCCATTGCAACTTCGAATGATAACTAAATGAGCTGTGGTAAGTCAAGGACTACCTGTACTACCACTACTACTGCCTGTTTTGGGGTTTAAAATGGTTGCTCATCTAACCTAGTAACTGTGTTGGATGATTGTTACTAATTATTGCTGCAGAAACTGGAAATCTCAGTAATTTTGCAAGCAATGACCAATATATATTATATAGACATTGTTCAACATTGTTCATAATGAATCTGAATGTTAGTATCTTCCAAAAAGCAGCATATTTATATGTGGATAACATGCAGGGATTCTATAATATTTTATACTACGTGCTACTGTAGTATTTCTCATTGCTGTCTTATGAATTCCAGTCTTCATTTAGGCCATCTTCTGCAACTAGGTATGTGATCATTGACTTTCCAAACAGAGAAGATCAGTTTGATAGATTACTACTCATCCATAGTAATATTTGTAATTAGAATCAGGAATTCTATCAGGCTGATGGCAAGGAATGTCTGAAGGAGGGGATCATTTCTTTGAATTAACCTTTTAATTAGATCAAAATTATAGTTAACATATCGGCTATACATTATAAACTATTGCAATGTTTCTCAAAGCAGTTTATGATACTGTCGCCTTTGTTATTTTTCAAATTCCCCTCTCATTCAGGGATCACAAAGCTTCAAAGATTATGTAATGATTTTCTCCCTGCAAGAATTTTATTTACCAACAACAGCTAGAAAAGCAATTCATTAAAGACACTTCCATTTTTCCTTACTTTTACATTCAGGGGCAGGTAAATTCCACTTTCCATTTAGGCCATCTTCGGCAGTTATGCATGTGAGGGTTGAATTTCCAATCAGGGAGAAATCACGGTTGCAGCGGTAGATTACAACTGATCCAACGTAATATTCGTCATTAGGGTCAAGATCAAATTGTCCGTTGGGAATACTGGTAGGACGACTACAAGAGATATCTGAGGGAGAGAGAATGATTTCTCTAAAGTAACCTTTTAATTGGAATTCATTTTGGCACTGGAAGAATATTCAGGGTGTTTCAAAGACTTACTAAATTACAGGCAAGTAAATTAAAAGAGAAATGTTCTCCTTCCACAGCAACAGTGCAACTTTTTGGAAGCTGCAGCAATAACCAGTGGCATAAACTTTAATGACTTTAAAGTAAAATCTTCTCTTACGTTCGCAATATGGGAATTCTCTATTCCAGTCAACCTTGCCATCTTTCAGAATACATTTAAGTGTAGCTTCACCAATAACCCTATACCTAAAGACAAAGAAAAACGATTCAGAATATACATTTCCAAATCTCATGTTGATATCACTTAAGAATGGTAAGAGAGCAAGATGTGTGGTATTCAGATTTTAAAAATGATCAAATAAATAAACAAAACAATGATGGTAAAAATATTTAAAGAAAAGGAAGTATTAAAGAAGCTGGAGTCCCTGAAACAGTTTTTAAGAAGCAGGTTAAAAAAGTCTCAGACAAACAGAACCAAATGCTGTCTAGGTGAATGTTCCAAAGTTGGGAGGCAAGGACTCATTTTATTTCTCAGTAAATGATTTATAGTTATAAATGCAGTGGGCAGATGTACTTTTCTTGATTTATATACAAAAACTGAGGATGAGGTAGACTGTTTATATGTTTTTACATTTGAGAAGAACAATTTAGAACAGAATTAATTTTATTTTAAACTGATTTTTGTGACTATTACTTGTAAGGCAACTGTTTGGAGATGAACTACAACTCACCCATATACACAGGAGATAGTTATATTACCACCAAGACGGATGTCGTTATCATCATGAGCAATTGGTTTGCTGTTGTCTACATTTGGAGCGGGACATTTTTTCCCTGGAAGAATAATTAGCATGCATGTTACTCTCTCAGTTTAATGTAGAAGTCATTCAGATCCGACATATCACAGGATGGGAACACTGGTCCCCACAAAGAGTAAATCAATCATGTGGGAATGCTTTATTTATTTTGATGATGTGAAATAGTATACACATCTTTGATCTTAGTGTCACAATCTACAGCACCATATTGTTATTTGGAAATGCTATAAATAAACAGAAGAAAAAAAATCTACTAAAGTAGGATATATAAGTAAGTAATCTTGGAACTCCAGAAATAAATCTCTCTCCTGCCAATTCTTAATCCTATCTCTTTATTGCCTCTTTCTAAGGAAACCATTAATCACGATTGCCCGGTGGATACAAGGAAACCTCCATCTTCTATTATGATTTGGAAGGGTAGACATGCCTGTAAAATAGTTAGAAGAATGTCCCAAAACTAAAGCAGATCTGACCGTACGACAGTGCTTGCCACATCACAAGTGCAGGCTCATGATCTACATTCTAGACATTAACAGCAAGGATGCTCGCCAGCCAATTTGGAAAAGATCCCAGGGATTACCAATGCAGGAGTTCATTACGAGGAATACCCCACTTGGGTTTCCCACTGAACAGATCAGTTTCAAGAGCAAGGAGATGTTACATGGGGAAATTGGGTGTCCCTTCTTCCATACTCCTTTCTATACACTAGGAAGTATGAAAAGGGTGAGGAATTAAAATTTTATGGACTAGCCTAGATTGGACTATATTCCCTTTTGCTGTATCTGATATCCTTTTGTCTTAATCAGGAGGAATCTGACTTTACCACATACATTTTTTGTTCTAGTTAGCATCACGAATGTCTCAAGCAGCATGGCTGCAATATATTAAAGCATAGGTGAGACTGTTCTTTGTTTGGGTTCTTTCCCCCAGATAACTAATAGAAAAGGAAGTGTTTTCAGGTCACTCATTTAGAAACACCTTTCGGCAAACCCTCTTCCAAACTTCCTGTATACATTTAAATTCCAATTTATTCTGATCTTTCACATTTATGTTCTTAGTCAGGATTGTGTTCTGTAATTTATTTATTTTTAAACCCAAAGCTCATCCGAGCTTTCTGGAGTGTACAGAAGGACTTCAGATTCTTTATAAATCCACATCCAAAGTCCATCTTTTCAACTACTTTAAACATAAAGGTCCAGTTCAAGTTGTCAAATGCTTCTGTAGTCTGTCTAATGCAATGACATGGGATTTTATGTAGGGAAGTTTATCTGTAATTTCAAGTTGGAAGAAATTGTCTTCCTCAAGACAGAAGTGTCGGTACTCAGATTGATCCCTGATTGCAGAGGATACATCCCCTAAAGATTAAACTCCTGTCCATATAAGATAGCTTTCAGAAAGTAAGGCATTTGTTATCCCTGTCTCTTCATTATTAATTCACCATATATATTAGAATGGTTTTTTTTAATTTTATTTATTTAAAAATACAAACAAAACAAAACAAGTAACAACAAAACATACAGAATACGTAAACAAAAATTCAATATACATCTTATCAAAGTTGTCGCTACTGTAATCTATGTTCTTATTTGTGCTTTTGACTCCTCCTTGTTTTGGTTTATTCTCTTATATCTATCTTTGCAGTTCACTGTTAACCTGCATTAGTGGTTGTGTTCCTATCCCTATATTAGGACATTCCAGTTACTTCCTAATCTTTTTTTCCTTTTCTATCTTCCAACCAAATGTACCACTTTTCCCATACTAGATAATAGTCATGTTCCTCTTTTTCTTGTAATTCCTTTGTGAGTCTGTCCATTTCTGCACATTCCATGATTTTACTAATTACTCTATCTTCTGTTGGTATATCATTACTCTTCCAATTTTGTGCAAAAATTATTCGTGCTGCTGTTATTATATGAATGATTAAATACTTTATTTCCTTTTCATATTGTCCATTTATTATACCTAGTAGAAAGGTTTCTGGCCTCATTTCTATTCTTTGTTGTGCAATTTCTTCTATTTGTGTTCTAATCACCCGGAGGCTCCAACTGGCGCAGAGTGCGGCTGCGCGGGTGGTAATGGGAGCGACATGGCGTTCCCATGTAACATCTCTCCTGCGCGAGCTGCATTGGCTCCCGGTGGTCTTCCGGGTGCGCTTCAAGGTTTTGGTTACCACCTTTAGAGCACTCCATGGCTTAGGACCTGGTTATCTAGGGGGCCGCCTACTGTCACCAATAGCCTCCCACCGGCCGGTACGCTCTCATAGAGAGTGGCTCCTCCGGGTGCCGTCGGCCAAACAATGTCGACTGGCGGCCCCTAGGGGGAAAGCCTTCTCTGTGGGGGTACCTACTATCTGGAACGAGCTCCCCCTGGAGATACGGAGGATCCCGGATCTGCGCACCTTCCGCCATGCTCTTAAGACCTTTTTATTCCATCAGGCGGGCCTGGCCTAATCTTTTCCCTCTTTTTAATTATGCAAATTTTAATTGGTTTTTAAATGATTGGGGTGTTTTAATATGTCTGGGCCAAATTGTTTAATTCGATTTTACTTTGTTTTTAAATTGTGTATCTATGTATTTTTACTGTTTGGCTGTTCACCGCCCTGAGTCCTTCGGGACTAGGGCAGTATATAAATCAAATAAAGTAAGTAAGTAAGTAAGTAAGTAAGTAAGTAAGTAAGTAAGTAAGTAATCATTTGCCAATACTGTTTTGCCTTTGGGCAGGTCTACCACATGTGATAGTAGGTTCCTTTATGGAGTTTGCATTTCCAGCATGTTGGGGAGGTGTTGGGGAACATTCTTGCCAGTCTGGCCGGTGGAAGATGCCACCTATAAAACATTTTGTGCAGATTTTCTTTATAGGGTACAGACATTGTTAATTTGTAATTTATTGTCCATAATTTTTCCCATTTGTCCAATTCAATATTATAGCCAAAATTCTTTGCCCAAATTATCATGTTTTCTTTGACCACCTCTTCTTCTAATTTATATCCTCGTAAATAATTATAAACTTTTTTTTATCAATTTTCCTGTAATCCTCGTAAGATTTTATCTAATTTGTATTGGCCTTTTTGGAATCCAAATTGAGGTGAATCTTTCTTATATCTTGATTTTATTTGTAAGTATGGCCACCAGTCAATGTCTGTACCCATCTCTTTCAATTCTTCTCTTGTTCTTCGTTCCCCTTGATTATTTAGCAATTCTTTATAGGTTTTCATTTTGGTGGCATCCATGGCGTTTGGGTAAATCTGGGCTTCCATGATCAATAACCATTCCGAAATTTTATTAATGTGTTTTTTTGATGCCCTGCCATGTCTGATATAATGCTTGTCTGAGAATATGCCTCTGGAAATAAACATGTTGTTTATCGGTGCCCTTCCATAGAAATGCATGCCATCCTCGTTGTAGACCGAATCCTTCTAAATTTAGTAATCTTTTATTTTTAAGTTCCATCCATTCCTTGATCCAAATCAGTGCTGATGCTTTATAATATGTTTCCCAGTCCGGTAGTGCTAGGCCTCCTCTTTCTCTTGTATCTTGTAGGTGTTTTATTTTAATTCTTACTTTCTTCCCTTGTCAGATGTAGTCTGCTATTAATTTATTGAAATCCTTAAAGAAATTCTTCCCCGGTTTTATTGGAATCACTTGAAATAAATATAGAATCCTAGGCAGGACATTCATTTTAATTGAAGCGATCTTTTCCAAAAGAGATAGTTGTAGTTTTTTCCAAATTTCTAAGTCTTTTTTAATTTGTCTTGTCAATTTATCGTAATTGTCTTCTCTAATTGATAAGCTTTTATTAGTGAGCCATATTTCTAGGTATTTTACCTTCTTTGTCATTTGTATACCTAATTCGTCTTCTAGTTCCTTTTCTTGTTGATTGGTGAGATTTTTTGTTAGTGCCTTTGTTTTTTGTTTATTGATTTTGAGTCCAGTTACTCTCCCATATTTTTCTATTTTATCTAATAATTTAGTGCCAGTTGTTATTGGCTGTTCTATGATAAATACAATATCGTCGGTGAAAGCTTGGAGTTTGTATTCCTCCCTTTTAATTTTCAGGCCTTTTATTTCCTTATCTCTTCTAATTTCCTTTAAGAGTGTTTCCAAAGCTAATATGAATAACAGAGGAGACAGAGGGCACCCCTGTCTCACTCCTTTTGATATTGGAAATTGTTTTGTCATGTCGCCATTTATTGTTATTTTTGCTGTTTGGGAGGAATAAATTTTTTAATCATATTTATAAATTTATTGCCAAATTTCATAGCTTCCAGTTGTAATGTAAGAAATTTCCAGTTTAGGTTGTCAAAGGCCTTCTGTGCGTCTAAAAAAATTAAGGCCAATTGTTTGTCTGAATTTGTTTCGTAGTATTCTAATACGTCAATTATTAATCTCATATTATTTTTTATCTGTCTCTTTGGGATAAAGCCGTTCTGATCCGAATGAATGTATTCATTAATTATTTTCTTAATTCTTTCTGTGATAATCGATGTAAATAGCTTGTAGTCCATGTTTAAGAGTGATATCGGTCTGTAGTTTTTAATTTGTGTCTCTTCTTTTGGTATCAATGTAATGATGGCCTCTGTCCAGGAATTGGGGATTGTAACTTCCAGAAGTGCATCATTAAGTATTCAGAGTAAAATTTCGTCTATTGAGTGCTGGCATGTTTTATAGAACTCTGCAGGTATACCATCTGATCCCGGGGTTTTATTTATTTTCTGTTTTTTTGTCGCCTCTATTAATTCTATCATCGTGATTGGCCTGTCCAATAGGTCCCTGTGTGTTTCTTCTAATTCTTTGATGTCGGCTTCGTTTAGGTATTGTTTGATGTCCTCTTCTGAAGTCTCTTCTTGTTCATATAATTTTTGGAAAAATATTCTTGCTATGTTCTTTTTGTCTTTGTTCTATATATCGCTCCTGTATCATCCTGTAATTGATGTATTGTCCTTCTCTCTTTTTCTTTTTTCAATTTGTACGCCAACCATCGCCCTGTCTTATTTGCATATTCGAAATGGTTTTGTTTTACTAATTTAATTTTCCTAGCTATTTCTGTTTGTGTGATCAAATTAACTTTATGTTTTGTCAAATTTATTTTTTCTTTGATCCTTTTATTTTGAGGTTCATTCTGTAGCTTGGATTCATACTTTTTGAGTTCCTTCAACAAATTGTCTCTTTTCTGTTGTTTTTCTTTGTTTTTCTTCGCCACATATGCTATTGTCAGGCCTCTTATATAGGCTTTCACCGTGTCCCATAGGTTTTGGAGGGAGGTTTGCTCTTTGATGTTGATCTCGAAAAATATTTTCATTTCCTTTTCTATCATTTGTACATAGTCTTTGTCTTTTAGGATTTCGGTGTTCATCATCCATCTCTTCTTCTTCCGATAGCCTTTCCAAATAATTTTTACCGGATTGTGTCTGCCCATATGTTTGTCATTATTTCTATTTCTTCTAGGTCTTTCCTGAGATCTGTTGTCATCCAGACCATATCTATTCTAGACCAGGATAGATGTGGATTGGAATAGAATGTATACTGTTTTTTTTCTTTATTTCCCTCCAAGCGACCTGAAGGCATAGTTCTTGCGTCATCTCCTTAAAAGTATCTGGAAGGGTCTTTTTCTTAGTTTTATTTTTCCTAGTACAATAGACCAATAGTCTTTTTCCGTGTCCGAAATTGCATTGAAGTCACCTACAATGCAAATTTTCTCGTAATACAAGTCTTTTACTTTGTTGTGTATGTTTTTGAAGAAGGCACGTTGATTCTCATTTGGTGCATAAATCAAGATCAATAGTATTGTTTTTAATTCTGTTTGTATTTCAATCATTAGAACTCTTCCCTCTTCATCTGCATATATTTGTTTTGTTTTTAAATGTTTCCTGATGTAGATTGTGATGCCTCTTTTTTTTTGTTCTGCTAGTGAAGTGTAAAGGTTCCCTAATCTTGTATTTTCTAATAACTTTTGGTGTTGTTTTTTGATGTGAACTTCCTGTAAGTTTATAAATCCATATCCAGTTTTTGTAATTTGGTAAATATCCGGGTTCTTTTGATTGGGGCATTTAATCCATTTATGTTGATCGAAATCATTTTTATTTCCTGTTTCATTTTCCTTCTTATCTGTTTTATTGTCCTTAATTTCCTTGTGTTTCTTTTCATTTCATTTCATTTTATTAAATTTGTATACTCCCGAAGGACTCAGGGCAGTGAACAGCCATAAAATAAAACATGTAGATACAAAATTTAAAATAGAGATAAAACTAATTAAATAAATTTGGCTGAGACATTTTAAAACCCCAATAAATTAAAACCAAATTTAAAATTCCATTTAAAAAGAGGAAAAGTTTAGGTCAGGCCATCTTGATGGAATAAAAACGTCTTAAGCGCGCGACGGAAGGTACGCAGATCCGGAATCCTCCGTATCTCCGGGGGGAGCTCGTTCCAGATCGTAGGTGCCCCCACAGAGAAGGCTCTCCCCCTGGGGGCCGCCAGTCGACATTGTTTCTTGTTATTCTTTGCATTTTTCCCCTTGCTCCTTCTCTCTCTGTTCTTTCTCTTTCCACTCTTCTCTTTTCCTCTTGTTCACCTTCTGTTTCTTCTATAGGTTGTTCCTCTTGGCTCTTATTTTCCAATTCTTCTCTAAATTCTTGATCTTCCTCGAGGACAAAGTGTTGGTTGAAAAACTCCTGGGCTCTTTCCAGACTATCTATCTTAAATTTCTTGTCCTGCCACGAGATTAAAATGTCCTCTGGTAGCAGCCAACGGAACATCACTTTGTGTTTATTTAGTTGTGTTGTGAGAAAGTTATAGTTTTTCCTCTGGTCCCTTATTCTTCTTGGAATTTGTTTCAATGTTATTATTTCTTTCCCTTTATAAAAGATTGCCTCCTCTCTCATTTTTCTATATAGCTCCTCTTTTTTTTTTTTGCTTTAATTTATATGCCGCCCTTCTCCGGACACTCAGGGCGGCTTACAATGCATTAAGCAATAGCCTTCATACTTTTGTATATTTATACAAAGTCAGTTTATTGCCCCCACAATCTGGGTCCTCATTTCACCTACCTTTGAAAGGATGGAAGGCTGAGTCAACCTTGAGCCTGGTGAGATTTGAACTTGCAGTAATTGCAAGCAGCAGATGTTAATAACAGTGTGCTTTAGTCCACTGTACTACAGGCTCTTTTTATTGTTTTCTTTGTGAATCGGACGTGCACTTCCTTTGGTAATTTATTCCTACGTGTGTAGTTGGTGTGCACCCTGTAAACTTCATCAATATCCCTTCGTATGTTATCTTTATCTCTCTGTGTTGTTTCAGCGAAAATCTCCGTCATTGTCTCTCCCAGGTCTTCCTCTTTGGTTTCTGCTATATTCTGGAACCTTTAGTAGAATAATGCCTTCTCCATTTCCAAGTAGGTAAGTGAGTCTTCCAGCTCTCGATTACTTGCCATCTGTTGTTGTTCCAGCATTTCTACTTTCTTGACCATCTGTTCCATTTTGAATTCTGTCTTTTGAATTCTTTGTTCGTTTTTGGCAATGTTCTGTTGGATCCTTTCTATCTTGTCATCCATTTTCTTTATGTTATCATTTATCTCTCCCACATTGGATTTCAAATCGTCATGATTTCTTTTTGTCTCCTGGTGAATGTTAGCAATTGATTCCTGGGTCTTATTCATCGCTTCCTGTATCATTGCCAAGACTGACTGGATATATTGCATGCTGGAAATGGAACCTGTCTTTTCTTTTTCTGTTCCAAGCATAGTTTCTATAGATCTTTGTTGTGCATGGGATGCTGTAAGGGAGGCTTGATTTGAAATTATTTTCTTATTTGCTTTGGTTATAGAGGTTGTTCCGGTACTTGTCATCTTGACTCTTTTTTGTAAATTCTCCCAAAATTTCATGCGCGGAACTATTCTTATTGTATTTCAGTTTCGTTATCTATAGTGATATTGTTGTCAGTGGTAATTTCTAGAGTCTATGTTGTAAAGATCTTTAAATAATCCTTAGTCTTATTGGGTTGTAAATTACTTCTATAAATATCCTTAATACTCTAATAATTGATTAAATATATAAATATATACCCAAGTGGGGGAGAGGAAAGATAGGATGAAGGAGATGGGGGAAAAACTTAAGATTTTAGCACTTCATATTAACTTAGTATAGTTAATACAATATAATAATCAGTCTGTCAAATCAAATCTATCAAATCAAATATCACTGATATATATATATATATACATATATATATATACACACACACACACACACACACACACACATATATGTGTGTGTGTGTGTGTGTGTGCGTGTGTGTGTGTATAGTTAATATTTCGGGTTTCTTCCCATGTAATTGTGGATATAGCCCTAAAAGGGTAGAAGCGACGTTTCGGCAGAATCCCATAATTAAATATTATTTAAATTAATATCCACTTAAACTATTTATTCCAATTAGTTCTTAATTAATCACCTATATAGTTAATTAGTTATCAATTAATCAAGTGTCTCACAATCAAAAAAAATTAAAGAATGCTAAGGTTCTTATCTAGGATATATGAAACACTGGTTTTGGATTTTTACTGGATTTTATAATGATCTTTTTTTTTTTTTTTAATTTGATTTATATGCCGCCCTTCTCCGGAGACTCAGGGCGGCTTACAGTGCGTTAAGCAATAGCCTTCATACTTTTGTATATTTATACAAAGTCAGCTTATTGCCCCCACAAACTGGGTCCTCATTTTACCTACCTTAGAAAGGATGGAAGGCTGAGTCAACCTTGAGCCTGGTGAGATTTGAACTTGCAGTAATTGCAGACAGCAGATGTAAGTGGATGTTAATAACAGTGCTTTAGTCTGCTGAGCCACCAGAGCCCCTTTGAGAGGAGCAAATGAAGGCAGATATATAGGAACAGAAAATATGGATGATCTATTTTTCAAAATGAAACCATCATGAAGATACTCACCCTGACACAATGATGAAATGTTAGACCATTTTGAAGTGTTCAGACATGTAATTGAAGAGTTAATTCCGGGGATATATTCATAACCTGTGATGCAATGGTATTTCAGGACAGTTCCAACTGGATAGCCTTCTTTTGGGATCTCTTCCTTTAGTGTCGAATGGAGTGGTGGTACTGGGGAGGTGCAGTTAGCTGGAAATTGATAAAAAAGCTTTTGAAGCAGGGGACATTAAAAAATGAAAATGTGGGATGATTTAAAAAACACAAACCATTTGTGTGTTTGTGTAGTTGTGTGTGTATAGGAGAGACCATATTCTAACAAAATATTGCAGCTTAATTTGCTCAGATATGGCCAGCTTCAAGCACCTTCTTTGTTTTTCCATCTCTATTGTGTCAGGCCAATTCCCAACAAAGCCAACAGCACAAGCCAATATGTTGTACATCAAAAGATACTGAAAATTCTCTTAGTAAAATTGCCCCAATATTATATGAATATCAGACTGAAAAGGGCTGATTTGACTCGTGACCAAAAACAAGGTGGGTGTATATGAATGCCCTTCATGTTTATCATGTACACAATGCTATCCACAAACTGATCAAAGAGGCTAAGAAAGATTTAAGTTGATGTATTGCAATGGTAGGAATGCATTCTGTAATAGTGCTTTATAGTATAGATTATATACTAGAAAAAACTGAGTTTACCCAAGAATTGTAACAATTAACATGCAAAAAGAGATGAACTCAATATAAAACATTGTCCATAATGAATCTGAATGTTATTATCTTCCAATAAGCAGCATATTTATATGTGCATAACATGTAGGGATTCTATAATATTTTATACCACATGCTACTGTAGTGTTTCTCATAGCTGTCTTATGAATTCCACTCTTCATTTAGGCCATATCTTCAGTGGTGAAATCCAATTTTTTTTACTATGGGTTCTGTGGGCATGGTGTGGCTTGGTGGGCATGGCAGGGGAAGGATACTGCAAAATCTCGATTCCCTCCCCACTCTGGGGCCAGCCAGAGGTGGTATTTGCCAGTTCTCCAAACTATTCAAAATTTCCGCTACCAGTTCTCCAAACTGCTCAAAATATCCGCTACCAGTTCTCCAGAACCTGTCAGAACCTGCTGGATTTCACCCCTGCATCTCATGCAACTATTCATGTGATTGATCATTCACTTTCCAAAAAGGGAAAATCAGTTTGATAGATTACTACTCATCCATGGTAATATATGTAGTTAGAATCAGGAATTCTGTCAGGGCAAAGACAAGGGATGTCTGAAGGAGGGGTTTTGAATTACCATATTTTTTGCACTATAAGACTCTCCGGACCATAAGACACACCTAGCTTTTGGGGAGGAAAACAAGAAAAAAAATCTGCCTCTCCCTCCCAGCATCCATCGGTATTCATCTGGCTAGCATCCTTGCAGCAAACAGCAAACAGCCTGGTCAGCTTCAGCACATTATCGCAGCCTGATTTAGCATGATCAGCTGATTGGCAGTTGGATCAGCCTCCCAGAATACCGCTGATCAGCTTTCCAGGCTGTGGGGATCACCACCGTCTATCTGCATGCTCCATTTTTGGCCTGGGTATGTCACGTTTTTGACATTGCATGCCACCTTTTTGGCCCATTTCAGGCAATGGGGATAACCACTAGTGCTGCTGCAAATCACCATTGATCGTCGCTGTCTATCGCCATTGATTGCCACCGCCTATCGCCGGTGGAGAACAGCATCAATCAGTGGCGATCCTCGCCGCCTGGAATGGGCCAAAAATGGGATGCGTAGAGGCCAAAGCTGGAATGCACGATGGCCAAAAATGGAGTGATGGAGGCCAAAAATGGGCCACATGGAGGCTGAAAACAGGGCATGCTGAGGCCGAATATGGGGTGGGTGGGCCCCAAAAATGGGGTCGTGGAGGCCAAAGAGTGGGGGCTGGTGGGTGAAGGGGTTTGGCAGCATTCACTCTACAAGATATACAGACATTTCCACCCATTTTTTTTGGGGGGGGGGAATGCATCTTATAGATCGAAAAATATGGAAACCTTTTAATTAGACCAGAATTACAGTAAACAGTTTTACCATACATTATAAACTTTTACAATGTTTCTCAAAGTAGTTTATGATACTGTCGCCTTTATTATTTTTCAAATTCCCCCCTCATTCAGGGACCACAGAGCTTCAGAGATTATGTAATGATTTTCTCCCTGCAAGAATTTTATTTACCAACAACAACAGCTAGAAAAGCAATTCAGCTGATTAAAGAAGCTTCCATTTATCCTTACTTTTACATTCAGGGGCAGGTAAATTCCACGTTCCATTTCGGCCGTCTTTGGCAGTTATGCATATAAGGGTTGAATTTCCAATCAGGGAGAAATTACTCTTGCAGTGGTATTTTACAACTGATCCAACGTAATATTCGTCTTTAGGGTCAGGATCAAATTGTCCATTGGAAATATTGTCAGGACGACTACAAGATATATCTGATGGAGAGAGAATGATTTATCTGAAGTCACATTTTAACTAAAATTGCAGTTAAACTTGCCACTAGAAGAATATTCAGGCTGTTTCAAGGGGTTACTACACTACAGGCAAGTAAATAAACACAGAAATGTAATCCTTCCACCAGCTGAGAGCAAAAAGCTTACTTCACATGTAGCAGAGGAGAAATCATATTACAGAACTATTTAAATCTTTATTATATTGTAAGTCAACCAGGGTCACTGTACTAATGAGATGGGATGCACAGAAACTAAATAATAAACAAATAAACAAAAATTTAAAAAAAATTGGACTCTACCCTGTTTATGGTTGAGGTTTGTCATCTAGTCATTGTTGCAGTCAAAGGCTATAGCTGTAAAATGGATTTTGCTAATATCCTTAGAACAGATATTTTTGATAGGATTGAGAAAGATTTATTTTGGAGATATTGGGGAATTACTGCAACATACATTAGGCAACAGAGGGACTTGTTGATAACTACTGCAGAGAAGTATAAAAATGGTTTGGCAGTTTAATAGATTATTTAGTTGATGAATATATCTTCCAAACTTAGTAAGAAAGCAGTAGCATTACTGCAAGAAATTTGGGATTTGGAATTCTCAGGAATATCAATAGGTTGTTATATATAGAAAGCTGTGGAGATTTCACGATGAAGAACAGTAATACACAGTTTAGTTAAAAAAGAATATTCAAGGACCCCCTTCTCTGCAGTACAGGTAGTTTTAACAGACTTAACAGATTAATAGAGTTGGAATGGACCTTTTAGGTCATCTAGCCCAACCCCAACTCAAGCAGGAGACCCTACACCATTTCCGACAAATGGCAGCTCAATCTTTTCTTGAAAGTCTCAAGTGATGAAGCTCTCACAACTTCCGAAGGCAAGCTGTTTCATTGGTTGATTGTTCTCACTATCAGAAAGTTCCTCCTCATTTCTAAGTTGAATCTCTCCTTGGTCAGTTTCCGTCCATTATTCCTTGTTTGGCCTTCAGGAGCTTTGGAAAAGAGCTTGACCACCTCCTCTCTGTGGCAGCCCCTCAGATATTGGAACACTGCTATCACATCTCCCCTGGTCCTTCTTACTTAAAGATCAGAATTGTTGATCATTGCTGTTTTTAAGCAGATCACTATGTGACCTCATTCAGGTTTACAGCTGTTTTTTCAGCAGCCATAAAGTAAATCAGCACAGTTGTTAAGCAAATCATGCAGTTGTTAAATGAACACTTTGGTTGATAAGTGAATCTAGCATACCCAACATGCATTTTTGCTGTTTTCTGCTAGAAATAGAAAGCCATGAATAAAAGTCACTATGATTGCTGGACGCTGCAACTAGTCATAAGAGATGACCCAATTTCAAAGCCCCGGAAATTTGATGAAGGGGTCTGTATGAACCACTTGTCAATTCAAGGACAGGTCATAACTACCTTTTTTGACACTGTCATAACTTTGAACTCTCATTAACTGAACAGTCATTAAGGGAGCATTTCCTGCACTCTTTACATTTAGGAATCCTCAGCTGCTTTAGATTTTGCCACCTTGTATTATAACCTAAACACAACACTGCAACTTTTTCGAAGCTGCACCAAAAACCAGTGGCATAAATTTTAATGACTTTAAAGTAAAATCTCCTCTTACGTTCACAAATTGGGAATTCATTATTCCAGTCAACTTTGCCATCTTTCAGAATACACTTAAGTGTAGCTTCACCAACAAGCCTATACCTAAAGACAAAGAAAAATGATTCAGAATATACATTCCTAAATTTCATGTTGTTGTCTCTTAAGAATTAGAAGCGAGCAAGATGTGTGGTATTCAGATTTTAAAAATGATCAAATAAATAAACAAAACAATGATGGTAAAAATATTTAAAGAAAAGGAAGTATTAAAGAAGCTGGAGTCCCGCGAAACAGTTTTTTAGAAGCAGGTTAAAAAAGTCTCAGACAAACAGAACCAAATGCTGTCTAGGTGAATGTTCCACAGTTGGGAGGTAAGGACTCATTTTATTCCTCAGTAAATGAATTATATTTAAACATACAAGCAACAGGAAGATGTACTTTTCTTGATTTATATACTAAAACTGAGGATAAGGTAGACTGTTTATATGTTTTTACATTTGAGAAGAACAATTTAGAACAAAATTAATTTTATTTTAAACTGATTTTTTGTGACAATTACTCCTAAGACAACTGTTTAGAGATGAACTACAACTCACCCATATACACAGGAGATAGTTATATTACCACCAAGACGGATGTCGTTATCATCATGAGCAACTGGGTTGCTGTTGTTTACATTTGGAGCAGGACATTTTTTCCCTAGAAGAATAATTAGCATGCATGTTACACTCTCAGTTTAATGTAGAAGTCATTCAGATCCGACATATCACAGGATGGGAACACGGGTTCCCACAAAGAGTAAATCAATCGTGAGGGAATGCAGCAATTCTACCTCAGCGTGGTAATTTACGAGACCGCCTTCTGCTACCAATAGCCTCTCACCGACCAGTACGCTCCCATAGAGAGGGATTTCTCAGGGTGTTGTCGGCCAAACAGTGTCGACTGGCAGCCCCCAGGGGGAGAGCCTTCTTTGTGGGGGCACCTACCATCTGGAACGAGCTCCCCCCAGAGATAGGGAGGATCCCGGACCTGCGGACATTTCGTCGTGCTCTCAAAACTTTTTTATTTCAGCAGGCTGGCCTGGCCTAACTCTCCTCTTTTAAATTTTTAATTCATTTGATTTTATAAATTGGGTGTTTTAATCTGTGTTTCGGCCAAAATATTTAATAATTTTAAGGGATTTTTAATATTTGTATTATCTGTACTTTATCTTGGCTGTTCACCGCTCTGAGTCCTCCGGGAGTAGGGTGGTATAGAAATTTGATTAATAAATAAATAAATTAATAAATAATGCTAATCTAAATCCAGGCTGATTTGACAAACTTCTCTCACTCCTGCAGTAGAAAGACGCAGCTCCTTCCAGGGCAACTAAGGCTGGCTTAGAACTGCAGCTTACCTCAAAATGACAAAAGCAGGCTAGCATTGTTACAATGTGTGTCAACCCTGTCATAACCTTCAGTGGCATCATAATATCTCTGACAAAGGGGTGGCACTGGCGCTGGAACAATGCAAAGTAGCTAGTTTATCTAACGCTACATGTATATCAGCGATATTGAGATCGATATATACAGTAAAACTAATTTTAAAACAAAGATATTTCCAAATATATCAATTCGTGATGTTGATATTATTGATTTATTGATAAGTATCAATAAATAAACAGAATTACAAAATTTATATCATTAATGCTCAGTATGATATTAATTAAAGATTGACCAGACCAAACAACATACATTGACTTATTTAGATGATATGAAAAAGTATACAAATCTTTGAGCTTAGTGCCACTATGTGGCAGCTACATATGCCACATGCTACATGCTATGCTACAGCACTATATTGTTATTTGGAAATGCTATAAATAAACGAAAGAAAAAAAATCTACTAAGGTAGGATATATAAGTAAGTAATCTTGGAACTCCAGAAATAATTGTCTCCCCTGCCCTCTTCTTAATCTTATCTCTTTATTGCCTCTTTCTGAGGAAAGCATTAATCACGATTGCCCGGTAGATACAAGGAATCCCCCATCATCTACTATGATTTGGAATGGTAGACATGCTTGTAAAATAGTTAGAAGAATGTCCCAAAACTAAAGCAGATCCAACCGTACGACAGTGCTTGCCACATCACAAGTGCAGGCTCTTGAACTACATTCTAGACATTAACAGCAAGGATGCTCTCCAGCCAACTTGGAAAAGATCCCAGGAATTACCAATGCAGGAGTTCATTACGAGGAATACCCCACTTGGGTTTCCCACTGAACAGATCAGTTTCAAGAGCAAGGGGATATTAAAGGACTAGTGTTACATGGGGAAATTGGGTGTCCCTTCTTCCATACTCCTTTCTATACACTAGGAAGTATGAAAAGGGTGAGGAATTAAAATCTTATGGACTAGCCTAGATTGGACTATATTCCCTTTTGCTGTATCTGATATCTTTTTGTCTTAATCAGGAGGAGTGTGATGGCATTATTTCTACATCATACATTTTTACTGAAAGACATACGCTTTTGTGAACTCAGCTCACTTCACCACATGCATTTTTTGTTCCAGTTAGTGTTGTGAATGTCTCAGCAGCATGGCTGCAATATATTAAAGCATAGGTGAGACTGTTCTTTGATTGGGTTCTTTTCCCCCCTTCCAGATAACTATTAGAAAAGGAAAAGGTCACTCATTGGGTGGTAACACTAGTTGAGGGCAGGTCTTCTATAAGGTGAAAGAAAGAAAATGCTGGTTCTCCTTTGGTGTCCTTTGGGTTGTTGTTGTTTTTTTTATTTTTATTATTATTATTATTATTATTATTATTATTATTATTATTATTATTATTGACATATAGAAACACCTTTCTGCAAACCCTCTTCCAAAATTCCTGTATACATTTAAATTCAAATTTATTCTGATCTTTCACATTTATGTTCTTAGTCAGGATTGTGCTCTGTAATTTATTTAGTTTTAGATCCAAAGCTCATCTGAGCTTTCTGAAGTGTACAGAAGTATTTCAGATCTTTTATAAATCCCCATCCAAAGTCCATCTTTTCAACTACTTTAAACATAGTTCCAATTCAAGTTGTCAAATGCTTCTGTAGTCTGTCTAGTGCAGGGGTCAGCAACCTGCAGCTCTGGAGCCGCATGTGGCTCTTTCACCGCTCTGCTGTGGCAACACCCACCAGCACATGATTTTTTTGAGCTTTTCAACCCCCAGTAGGCCAGCCATGGATAAATCCAAGAAAAGAAAAGTTTCAGAAGAAAACAGAACATTTAATTCAACTACATACGCTAGTTTTGTGGCCCCTTAAGAAATAGTCAGGCACAGGAAGGGTTTTGTGGCTCCCGGTGTTTTCTTTTCTGTGGGAAATGGGTCCAAATGGCTCTTTGAGTGTTTAAGGTTGCAGACCGCTGGTCTAGTGCAATGGCATGGGATTTTATGTAGGGAAGTTTATCTGTAATTTCAAGTTGTAAGAGATTGTCTTCCTCAAGACAGAAGTGTCAGTACTCAAATTGATTCCTGATTGCAGAGGATACATCCCCTAAAGATTAAACTCCTGTCCATATAAAATAGTTTTCAGAAAGTAAGGCATTTGTTATCCCTGTTTCTTCATTATTAATTCACCGTATATATTAGAATGCTAAGGTTCTCATCTAGGATATATGAAGCACTGGTTTTGGATTTTTACTGGATTTTATAATGATGTTTTGGAGGAGCCAGTGAAGGCCGATATATAGGAACAGAAAATATGGACGATCTATTTTTCAGAATGAAACCATCATTAAGATACTCACCCTGACACAATGATGAAATGTCAGACCATTTGGAAGTGTTCAGACATGTAATTGAGGAGTTAATTCCGGGGATATATTCATAACCTGTGATACAATGGTATGTCAGGACAGTTCCAACCGGATAGCCTTCTTTTGGGATCTCTTCCTTTAGTGCTGAGTGGAGTGGTGGTACTGGGGAGGTGCAGTTAGCTGGAAATTGATGAAAAGCTTTTGAAGTAGTAGTAGTAAAGAAACATTTATAATGAAATCGTGGGATGATTTAAAAGATGCAAATCATCTGTATAAAAGAGACCAAATTCTAACAAAACATTCTAGCTAAATTTGTCCAAATATGGCCAGCTTCAAGGACCTTCTTTGTTTTCCTTTTTTTAAAAAACAAGTTTTATTTTTTTAAAAAATTCTTTCATCATACATATTTTATGAACAGAGTGCTGACCGGGTCACATCTTATACATTTTATACTTAATCAAAATCATAATTATAATATATCTTTATCTCCCATATTTCATCTCTTTTGTATAATCCTTTATCACAAATTAATCATATTTCTCCATATCTTATTATTTCAACTTCTGCCACATTATTTTCTTTCCATTATTTTTTATTTATATATTATTTTTATATATATTAATAATAATAATATTTAGTGTCGACAAGTTCTATTCATTCATCTTTATCATATAATCACTTATAGTCATTTTTCGCCATTTCTTAGTTTTTTCAACTTCTACCATATTATTCTCACATACTTCTTTATCATTTCATTTTCAATGCTTTCACCTAACTAACATCATAATATATTCTATAATTCTTCTCTCTTACCAATACAATAAAAATTAAAATTCCATTCTAATTTTAAAAACTATCAAAAACACTATTATTATATTGTCTACTTTCTCATTCCCATTCATTAATCTATTTTATATATATTTACTAATATTTACCTCATCATCCTTCATTTTTAACCATCATCTCTCAATCCTTTTGGCATCCTCTTTTCTAATAGTTTTATGCATGACCTTTTATCTCGCTCTAACTTTTCAATTCTCTTTTTTTTCCTTTTATATATTTTACATTTCATCTTCTGACTTCCTTTTATCATTTTTTTTGTGCTATTTAAATATCCCTCACCAAAACCTTCCCTTGTCTTCCAGATATTTCCCTTTTTCCCTTTTGTCTGTTTCCCAAAGATTTCTGTAATATTCTTTATCTGATTTCTATTTTTTTACTACTTTCTTTTCAACATTGTAAACTTCTTGTTTCTTATTTAAATTTCCCTCTTCCAACTCCTCTTCATTTTCTTTTTCTGCATATTTAAATGAATGTTCTATTTCTTTTTGCCTATTAAAGATTCACACGTGTTTTTAAATATCAAAAGTAATGCTTCGTACATCTGCAACTCCATTTTATAACAATTTAAAAGGTTATTAATACCTCCCCAATTATATCTCTATGTATCTATGTAATTAGCCAAAAGTTAAAGTCTAATTTTCTTATATCTCCTCTTCTTTTCTTCTTTTCTTCTTCAATTATTCCTTTATTCTTCAAAATTAAAAAGATTATTAATTATTGTCCAAATTCTTCAACAGTCAAATCCAATTAACAAGCTATCCTCCAGAAGACAAGGAAAATGAAACAAACACCCAAATGTAAACACAGTCACTCCTTAAATGTTCTCACAGTGTCCAAATTATCTTCTTCTATATGGCCAAGGTTGAAATTTCCAGCTGCTATTTCTTCTGTTTTGTCTATTTGAATAGAGTATTACAGTACTTTTTCTTTCCTCCAACAGATGGCACTATCCATTTCTACTCTGTTACAAAATAATCTATCAAATCCAATTGTTTATCAAGATATCCAGAAAACTTTTAAGATCCTCTTATAAATTATTGTTTTTTTCCGAAAATCATTTTTTTCCTTTTTGAAATATTTTGCTTTTCCCAATTTTCCAAATCTAAGACTTCTGCTTAGATTCTTTGTATTACAGTCAACACTTTTTCTTTTTTCCACATGTGTGATTTTTTTTCTTAATTGCCAGATAGCTGCTAGTCCAAGCTCAGGATTCTTTTAAGACATAAATTTCAATTTTTCTTAGTATAAATTGGCAGTTAACTCACCCAGTTCTACCACTCCATCCACACACTGTTCCTGTTCAGTTCTTCAGTCCAGTTGTCCCAGCTACAAGGTGGCCACCATAAAATGGCCACCGCTCCTGCTGCCGCTTCGGGAGAGCTATTTCTGTTCCAGCAAGGAAATTGCCAATTCCTCGCAGTCCATGAAATGCCTTTCTTTTCTTCACTGTCCCTAAAAGACAGCTATGGCTCAAAAGCCTCCCGGCAGCAGTTCATCTGGCTGGATTTTGCACAGCTCATCAGAGCCCGCTATTTTCCAGTCTGTTCCCACAGCGACGTCACCCGGAAATTAGGAGCTTCTTTGTTTTTCCATCCATATTGTATCAGGGCAATTCCCAATAAAGTCAACAGCACAATATGTTGTACATCAAAAGTTATTGAAAGTTCTCTTAGTAAAATTTCCTCAATATTACATGAATTTCAGACCAAAAAGGGGCATTTGACGGGTGACCAAAAAAAAGGGAGAGTAGATGAACGTGTTTGTGTTTATCATGTACACAACAGTGCTCCTCTATCCACCAACTGACTGAAGAGGCTGAAGAATATTTAAGTTGTTGTACTGCATTGGTAGAGATGCATTCTGTAATAGTGCTTTATAGTATAGATTATATACTATGCAAAATTGAGTTTACCTATGAATTGTAACAATTAACGTGCAAGCTCTGGCAATCTTTTGTCTGTAAGAATGGTCTGAGACATCCTTCTCATTTTCGTGACCTTAATTTTACACATGAGACCTCATCTTTTAACCAATCCTATCACTCAGAGCAGCTCAAAATTCAACATGAGAATTGCATGTATTCAGAAGCACTGTTGACATTGCATTTTTAAAGTTGTTTAGTGGGTATTTAATAAATAAATCACTACGATATCACCCTTAAATAAACAAATGAAATTACTGCAGAAAATATAATAGATTTGAACTTTTGCCTTTCATGGCAAGTTGCCTTGTGCCTTCCCATTCTGAAACTATGTATCAGGTGGATTCAGAAATCATTTGGATTTCGGTGTGGCATAATTTGTTAACTCAGTTTATGAAACATACTTTATAGTTTAGCTATATCCACCTACACTGGCATGTCAAACAAACTATAGTTGAAACCAATGATGGATTACCACAATATATCTATTGTTTTGCTGACCATCCTTTGTTCGCATTATGGCTAGGCAAAAGCTCTACTTATATAATTCAGGTTTGGAATGAAGGTGTAATAAGTGAGTGTGCAAAATCACCCTGGACAGAGGCCACTGGTTATAGTAAGCTTCAGAGGAAGCCTCCATCTTCTGCTTCCCAAGATTTGATCTCGTATTTCAGTCTCTTCCAGTAAAGAAATTTAACTAAATGGTGTATGCAATGGTGGGATTCATATAATTTTACAACCGGTTCTCTGCCCTAATGACCGGTTGGAGAGGCGTGGCTGGGTAGTCATGTGACTGGGTGGGTGTAGCCAACTCAACATGACTCATGTCAAGGCCTCTTCTCGCCATCCCAGCTCTGCCCTGCCTCATCCCTTCCCTCCCAGCCACTCTTTTACATGCCCAGCCACTCACCACATTCAATATAAAGAATGCTCACCTTGTGCAAAAAAATAACAAACATCTTGTCTTCAGGTTTGATGCACCTTGCAAAGTATTACTGCTCATTCTAGTCTCCTTTCCTACTAACAGGTCCATCTCAGATTGTAATTTGCTACAACCTCTAGTCTTTTGCACCATTCTTTGGCAGATTATTCTGAAATGGTATCTGTGATGTCTGCAGCTTTACAAGTTTGTTTCCTCCAACCCTGTTTTCACATGGAATTCTTATAAGTTATTTTGACATTCCTTCCTCCTTTTTAAACAAAGTAGTGGTTAAGATGCTGGCCTAGAACCAAGAGGCTCTGAGTTCTAGTCCCATTTTAAGCTTGAAAAAAAAATGGCTGAGTGACCAGTCATTCTCTCCCAGCCAAACCACTTTTTAGATTGTGGTTGTGGGGAAACTAAGAGGAGGAAGGAATATTAGAGAAGTTCTCCACCTTGAGTTCTTATAAAGTAATAAAGACATGATAAACATCTACCAAAATAATAAATCATTTGTAAGAATGATGCCCTTTTAAAGGAGAAGGGATGCTGACTGCCTCGTCACATGCCTTACACTACTGCATTTATTTCATTTTTATCCACTTTTTCTCTACTTTTTGGTTTATTTTTCAATGATGGCATACCTTGTGAAATTCTTACCCATCTCACATGCTAGGGTTATGTGGGAAAACATCAGGTAAACACATCCATGTGACTGACAGGCAATGGCAGCAGTAATACTAAGCAGCTACATTAAGACAGAAAGGTGGAGGCACCAGGTTGCAAAAAGCAGAGGATCTCAGGAGAAGAGAGCTGAGACATCCACCTTTCATCAAACTGGCACAACCTAGTCAACTACAAAAAGATAGGAAAGTCATCCATGTCTCTCTTATGTGTTCTTTCCATTGGAAATTTTGAGATTGTTTCAGACTGACAGTGCAAAAATTGCACCACAGCTGTACAATGCTGGTGATCTTTTTAATGATATTTCACTTTTATCTAGAAAAGCTGACAGGTTTTAAAAAGCAAATTCAACCATGCCCTTTTTTCCATTTAATCAATTTTGCAAAACATCTCCCCAACTCACAATAAAATAGGCCCACAACTCACAATAGAATAGCACAATAAAATAGCACCGTTCCAATATTTGAGGGCTCCTACAAAAATGACGGTGGTCGATCTATTTTCCAAAGCATCAACAGGCATAACAAGAAACAATGGATGGAAACTAACCAAAGAGAGAAGCAACCAAGGACTAAGGAGAAATTTCCTGAGGGTGAGACCAACCAACCAATGAAATAGGTTCATAATCCAATTCTGAAACTATGTATCAGGTGGATTCAGAAATCATTTGGATTTTGGTGTGGCATAATTTGTGAACTCAGTTTATAAAGCATGCTTTATAGTTTAGCTATATCTACCTACACTGGCATGTCAAATAAATTATAGTTGAAACCAATGATGGATTACCACAATGTATTTATTGTTTTGCTGACCATCCTTTGTTCGCACTATGGCTAGGCAAAAGCTCTACTTATATAATTCAGGTTTGGAATGAAGGTGTAATAAGTGAGTGTGCAAAATCACGCCTGGACAGAGGCCACTGGTTATGGAGTAAGCTTCAGAGGAAGCCTCCATCTTTCTGCTTTCCAATATTTGATCTCGTATTTCAGTCTCTTCCAGTAAAGAAATTTAACTAAATGGAATCCTAATCTGTGACTATGAACAAGAGCAAGACAGTAAAATACCACATTCTACAAGGGCCAATCTAACCAATTCAGAAAGAGGAATGAGGTGTGCAAGAAGACTTTGCTTTCATGACCAAAATGATTTTGTACATATTTCTGTTTTGAAGAAACTGACTTATTACCATTTAACTAAAAGGATTGTATGTGCAAGGACCTTCTTATACAAGGAAAGACTAGGAATAAATCAAGTTTCACTTGGCACGGAGAACTTTATAGATATAGGACTATTTCCAATAGTTCCTAAGACCTGAACTTCATTAATGATTCTGTTACAATTCATTACAATTTACATTATAATTCACCTATAGTTATCGTTTCTTTTCATCTGAATGAACAGTGGTGGCCACTATAAGTCTACTTGTAAGAAAAGAGTGAGTAGCAGAGGCAATAACCAGAGAAAAGAGAAAATGATGATTCAGGTTAGTCAGGCAGAAAGTTCTGTATTAAATGTCAACCAAACTCTCCTGTAAGGCTGTAAAATAGTTACCTTTGACACATTTGGGGATGGCAGGAACCCACGAACTGTTAGCCCCACATTTAATATGGAGGCTTCCCACAGCAGAATAGCCGGAATTACATTCAAAGCTGATGGCTTCATTATAGGTATATGAAGGCTTAGGTAAATTAATTAACTTCCCATTTTCCACTTTTGGTGGATCACATTTGACGTCTGAAAAGAGAAAGCAGCATTTAAACAAAACCAGCTCAGAACAACAGCCTATAAATAAAAACAAGATTTGCTCTTGGCTAAAAAGGATATATAATTAGCAGTTGCTTTTATTTTTCTTTCTTCTATTAGTATCGGGTATTAAGGCCCTACAAGATAATATTTGTTAATCTTTTATTCATTTTGTGTTTCTCCAGTTGGTTTTCATATCATTAAATCCACAGTTTTCTTTACTATAAGTAGTCCTCACCTTATAAACTCAATTGAACTCAAATTTTCTGTTGCTCAATGTGAGACAGTTGTTAAGAGAATTTTGCCCCATTTTATGACCTTTCTTACCATAGTTGTTAAGTGAATCACTGCAGTTGTTAAATGAATAACACCATTGTTAAGTGAATCTGGATTCCTCACTGACTTTGCTTGTCAGAAGGTCACAAAAGGGATCACGTGACCATGGGACACTGCAGCCATAATAAATATGTGTCAATTGCCAAGGATACAAATTTGGACCATGTGACCATAGGAATGCTGCAATGGTCGTAAGTGGGAAAAATGGTCATAAATCACTTTTTCAGAGCCAATGCAACTTCGAACGATCACTAAATGAACTGCGGTAAGTCAAGGACTACCTGTACTACCACTACTACTGCTTGTTTTGGGGTTTTAAATGGTTGCTCATCTAACCTAGTAACTGTGTTGGATGATTGTTACTAATTATTGCTGCAGAAACTGGAAATCTCAGTCATTTTGCAAGCAATGACCAATATATATTATATAGACATTGTTCAACATCGTTCATAATGAATCTGAATGTTATTATCTTCCAAAAAGCAGCATATTTATATGTGGATAACATGCAGGGATTCTATAATATTTTATACTACGTGCTACTGTAGTATTTCTCATTGCTGTCTTATGAATTCCAGTCTTCATTTAGGCCATCTTCTGCAACTAGGTATGTGATCATTGACTTTCCAAACAGAGAAGATCAGTTTGATAGATTACTACTCATCCATAGTATTTGTAATTAGAATCAGGAATTCTATCAGGCTGAAGGCAAGGAATGTCTGAAGGAGGGGATCATTTCTTTGAATTAACCTTTTAATTAGACCAAAATTATAGTTAACATATTCGCCATACATTATAAACTATTACAATGTTTCTCAAAGTAGTTTATGATACTGTTGCCTTTGCTATTTTTCAAATTCCCCTCTCATTCAGGGACCACAGAGCCTCAGAGTTATGTAATGATTTTCTCCCTGCAAGAATTTTATTTACCAACAACAACAGCTAGAAAAGCAATTCAGCTGATTAAAGATGCTTCCATTTATCCTTACTTTTACATTCAGGGGCAGGTAAATTCCACGTTCCATTTTGGCCATCTTCTGTGGTTACGCATCTGATGGTTGAATTTCCAATCAGGGAGAAATTACTCTTGCAGTGATATATTACAACTGATCCAACGTAATATTCGTCTTTAGGGTCAGGATCAAATTGTCCATTGGAAATATTTTCAGGACGATTACAAGGGATATCTGAGAGAGATAATGATTTCTTTGAATTCACCTTTTAACTAGAATTACAGTTACATTTTTGCCACTGGAAGAATATTCAGGCTGTTTCAAGGAGTTACTACAATTACAGGCAAGTTAATAAACATAGAAATGTTGTCCTTCCACCAGCTGAGAGCAAAGAGGTTCTTGGTATGTAGCAGAGGAGAAATCATATTACAGAAATATTTAAATCTATTATATTTTAAGTCATCCAGACTCACTGTATTAATGAGATGGGACACATAGAAATTAAATAATAAACAAACAAACAAACAAACAAACTAGTAAGAAAGCAGTAGCATTACTGCAAGAAATTTGGGGTTTGGAATTCTGAGGAATTGCAATAGATTTTTATATATGGAAAGCTGTGGAGATTTCAGAATGAAGAACAGTAATACACAGTTTAGTTAAACAAGAATATTCTAGGACCTCCTCTGCAGTATAGGTAGTTCTTACTTAAGGATCAGAATTGTTGGTCATTGCTGTTTTTAAGCAGATCACTATGTAACCTGACTCAGGTTTACAACTGTTTTTTACAGCAGTCATAAAGTAAATCACCACAGTTGTTAAGCAAATCATGTAGTTGTAAATGAACATTTTGGTTGATAAGTGAATCCAACATATCCAATATGCATTTTTGCTGTTTTCTGCTGGAAATAGAAAGTCATGAATCAAAGTCACTATGATTGCTGGACGCTGCAACTGGTCATAAAGATGACCCAATTTCAAAGCCCCTGAAATTTGATGAGGGGGTCTGTATGAACCACTTGTCAATTCAAGGACAGGTCATAACTACCTTTTTTGACTCTGTAATCACTTTGAACTCTCATTAACTGAACAGTCATTAAGGGAGCATTGCCTGCACTCTTTACATTGAGGAATCCTCAGCTGCCTTAGATTTCCCCACCTTTTATCATAGCCTAAACACAACATTGCAACATTTTTGGAAGCTGTGCCAAAAACCAATGTTATAAATTTTAATGACTTTAAAGTAAAATCTTCTCTTACGTTTGCAAATTGGGTATTCTTTATTCCACTCAACTTTACCATCTTTCAGAATACACTTAACTATAGCTTCACCAACAAGCCTATACCTAAAGACAAAGAAAAACAATTCAGAATATACATTTCCAAATCTCATGTTGTTATCTCTTAAGAATTAGAAGAGAGCAAGATGCGTGGTATTCAGATTTAAAAAATGATCAAATAAATAAACAAAACAATGACGGTAAAAATATTTAAAGAAAAGGAAGTATTAAAGAAGCTGGAGTCCCGTGAAACAGTTTTTAAGAAGCAGGTTAAAAAAATCTCAGACAAACAGAACCAAATGCTATCTAGGTGAATGTTCCACAGTTGGGAGGTAAGGACTCATTTTATCCTCAGTAAATGATTGGTTTACATTTATACATAAAAGCAGTGGGCAGATGTACTTTTCTTGATTTATATACAAAAACTGAGGATGAGGTAGACTGTTTATATGTTTTTACATTTGAGAAGAACAATTTAGAACAGAATTTTATTTTAAACTGATTTTTGTGACTATTACTTCTAATGCAACTGTTTTGAGATGAACTACAACTCACCCATGTTCACAGGATAAAGTTACACTATCACCCAGACGGATGTTGTGATCATCCTCAGCATCTGAATTACCATTTTCTATAATTTGTGGCATACATTTTTTCCCTAGAAGAATAATTAGCATGTATGTTACTCTTTCAGTTTAATGTAGAAGTCATACAGATCCGACATATCACAGGATGGGAACACATGTCCCCACAAAGAGTAAATTAATCATGATGGGAATTCAGCATTTCTACCTCAGGGTTCTACTGCTAATCTAAATCCAGACTGATTTGACAAGCTTCTCTAATTTCAAAACAAAGATATTTCAAAATATATCAATTCATGATATTGAATATTTTTGATTTATTGATAAGTATCAATAAATAAACAGGATTACAAAATTTATATAATTAATGCTCAGTATAACATTCATTAAAGATTAACCAGACCAAACAATGTACATTGACTTATTTTGATGATATGAAAAAGTATACAAATCTTTGAGCTTAGTGCCACAATCTACAATACTATATTGTTATTTGGAAATGCTATAAATAAACAGAAGAAAAAAAAAATCCATTAAAATAGGATATATGTAAATAATCTTGGAACTCCAGAAATAATTGTCTCTCGTGCCCTATTCTCAATCCTATCTCTTTATTTCCTCTTTCTGAGGAAACCATTAATCACAATTGACCAGTAGATATAAGGAAACCCCCATCATCTACTATGATTTGAAATTGTGGACACGCTTGTAAAATAGTTAGAAGCATATCCCAAAACTAAAGCAGATCCGACAGTACGACAGTGCTTGCCACATCTCAAGTGCAGGCTCTGGATCTACATTCTAGATATTAACAGCAGGGATGCTCGCTAGTGCTTGCTACCAGATCCAAACTAGTCTTGCCACATCTCAAGTCTAGGATCTGGATCTACATTCTAGGCATTAATAGTAGTGGTGGGATTGAAATAATTTAGCAACTGGTTCACTACTCTAATAGGTGGTCATGTGACTGGGTGGGTGTGGCCAATTCAACATCACTCATGGGTTCAGGAGGGAATCCTGAGGTCTTGAGGGGTGGGGGGTGGGGAGAAAGAAAGAGGGAAAGTGCCGTGTCAGCCAGGCACTGAAGTGTCACCACTGCTGCTGCAGCAAGACACAGAGAGAGAGAGAGCGAAAGAGCGATCCAATCTAACCTCTGTGTGTGTGTCTGTGTGTGTGTGAGAGAGAGAGAGAGAGAGGGAGGGAGGGAGGGAGAGAGAGAGAGGGAGAGAACACCCCCACCAGCCCTGATATAACTCTCCAAGGTTGGATTGGATCTCTCTCTCCCCTCCCTCCCTTTCCTTCTCCCTCTCCCTCTTTCTCTCTCTCTCTTTCTCACACACACAAACATACACATAGAAGTTGGATCAGATCGCTCTCTTGCTCTCTCCCTCCCCCCCCCACAGCAGCAGTGCTTCAATGCCTAGCGAACGGGGCACTTTTCACTCGACCGCTTTCCCTCATTTTTCTCCCTGCTCCTCCTCCTCCTTCAGACAAAAGTTGCTAATATCTAACTGTATTAATATCTCTTTTTCATCCTGCGGGCCCAGTGCTGTTCCTCACTTGGCAATGCTCAAGGAGAATTAGGGGCTAAAGACACTTGATAGTGCTACAGGTGAGGCTGTCAGAAAGCCTTTTTGGCAGGCACGCAATGCCTTCTCCTCAGCTTCTCCAACTCTACTGCCCAGGGGAGGCAAAGCCTCTCTTTTTGTTCACATGATCCACTGCCGGCAGAAATGTACATATGGGTGGTATGGCAGCTCAATACTGAGTGCAGAAGTTCTGCTGCTAGCCCAGCAGCCCAGACAAAGCCACAGGATTTTTTTTTTTTTACTTTCCCTACACTGGCTACTGAAATGGGAAGCGCACCTCGGCCTGCATAACTAGCAGGAGATTCTCCACCTCACCAAAACCAATGGCTTAAAACCGGCTCCTCTGCCACACACCACACCCATTCCCCTGCCATTTTCCCCAAACACCTCCCCCCCATTTGCAAACATGGCATGCCATTTGGGTGAGAAATGCCTGGAATGCAATAAAGCCCACCCACTCACCTCCCACTGGCAGGCTGGCTAATGGGGTGAGAGGAGAGGCAGAAAAGCAGGAGGGGAGCCGAGCGGATAGTAGCCCTCCGAAAGAAGGCGGCTGAGGGAAAGTGCATGTGCTACAGCATACTGCAGATGCCCCTCACTTGCCCCTTGCTACCTGGCTTTCTTCCTCCTGCTGTTTCCTCAGCGCTCACTTGTGCTCTCCCTCTCCAGTCTAGCTTCACACACAATTGCCCTTTGCAAGCCCACTGTTGGTGAATCTGGGTGCCAGTGAGGGTTGGCTTTTTGCCTAGGTTTATCTGGCTGTCAGGTGGAAAATGGCCTCCTTTCCAGGTCCCTGTCCATTTTCCCCTTGACAGTCAACAGCCCGACAACCTAGGCAAAAAACCCAGCCCTCTCTGCTTCTTTCACCTCCACAGGTTCAGGCAAACGGTTGGGAGGCTGGAGCAGGGAAAAGCCTGAGAACACGCAGCTTCCAGCCACTTTCCTTACCCAGCTCCAGCTCGCACCACTGCATGTCATGGTGAAAGAAAGTCCCCACTGAGTTTTAGCCGGGTTCAGCAGGCGCTTCAAACTATTTCCCAAAGAGACTTGGGGATTCGGCATGTAGGGTGGGTGGTAAGGCATGTTGTATTGCTCTCCATTGCTCTTCTTGCAGTAAAATCCAAGACAGAGTGATGGGGAGAGAACTGCAGTTTTGCAGGCGCAAAACTTCACTCCCCTGGGGAGGGGTGAGGCATGTATACTTTGCCAAACTACACAAAAAGTTAGCTACTGGTTCTAGTGAACCGGTATGAACCAGCTGAATCCCACCACTGATTAACAGCAAGAATGCTCTCCAGCCAAGTTAGAAAAGACCCTAGAGATTACCAATGCAGGAGTTCATTACGAGGAAAAGCCCACTTGGGTTTCCCACTGAACAGATCAGTTTCAAGAGCAAGGGGATGTTAAAGGACTACAGTCACATGGGGAAAGTTGGTGTTCCCTCTTCCACACTCCTTTCCAAACACTATAAAGTATGAAAAGGGTGAGGAATTAAAATCTTATGGACTACACTAGATTGGACTAGATTTTCTTTTGCTGCATCTGATATCCTTTTGTCTTAATCAGGAGGAGTCTGATGGCAGTATTTCTACATAATACATTTTTATTGATAGACATACGCTTTTGTGAACTCAGCTCACTTTACCACATGCATTTTTTGTTCCAGTTAGTGTTGTGAATGTCTCAGCAGCATGGCTGCAATATATTAAAGCATAGCTGAGATTGTTCTTTGTTTGGTTTCTTTCCCCACCCCCTCCCAGATAACTATTAGAAAAGGAAGTGCTTGAAGGTCACTCATTGGGTGGCAACACTAGTCAAGGGCAGGTCTACTATAAGGTGTAAGAAAGAGAATGATGTTGGTCCTCCTTTGCTGTCCTCTGGATTTTTTTTTTTTTAACAACTGGCATATGGAAACACCTTTCTGCAAACTGTCTTCCAAAATTGTTGGATATATTTAAATTCCAATTTATTCTGATCTTTTACATTTATGTTCTTAGTCAGTATTGTCATCCTTAATTTATTTACTTTTAAACCCACCATTTATCCAAGCATTTTGATCTCCCTTATAACCTATTCAATGTTCTCTTGCGGGTCTTGCACAATCAATAACAAATCATCAGCAGTTTGTATTTGTGTGCTTTGATTTGTAGTCCTTTTACTTTGTTATCTTGTCTAAGATCTCTGTTTAATAGTTCTGACATTAGAGGAAGAGCAAGTGAAGGCTGAGATTTAGAAAATGTAAACACGTATGATCTATTTTTCAGAATGAAACCATCATGAAGATACTCACCCTGACACAATGATGAAATGTCAGACCATTTTGAAGTGTTCAGACATATAATTGAAGAATTAATTCCAGGAATATATTCATAACCTGTGATGCAATGGTATGTCAGTTTAGTCCCAACTGGATAACTTTCTTTCAGAGCGTCTTCCTTTAGTGTCGCGTGGAGTGGTGGTACTGGAGAGGTACAGTCACCTAGAAATAAAAAAATAAAGTTTTCAAGTAGGAGTAATTAAGAGAGATGTACAATGAAAGTGTGGGTTGATTTATAAAGTGAGGGGTGATTTATAAAGTCACAAACTATATGTATAAAGTATTGTAGCTAAATTTGCTTAATGATTCAACAACCATCTTTGTTTTTCTATCTGTATTGTACCAGGGCAAGTCCCATCAACGCCTGATTTTAATTACATTAGTTCTTTCACCATAGATTTATCTACATTATTATTTGATATGGTTCTTCCCCTGTGCTGGAGTCTACTATGAAAGTTGTGGGAGGAATTAAAAGACTGGCTAGCCTGGAATCATTGCAGGGGAGGAAACTGCAGAAGACATTCTTAATTAATCTTCTGCTTGCATTTGAGCCTGTTTTCCACATAGCCAAAGACAAATCATATATATCTTCTTTCCTCTATCTGCATCTCAGTCAACGTTCAAATAACTTTGTCTTTGTCACATAAAAACAATTAACTTGAAAGGAAAGCCCTATCTGTATCAAATCTCATTCTGCATAAGTTTTTTTTTTTTTGTCAATAGCTTGAATTTCTTTTCTTTTTTTTGCTGCAATGTAGTTACACCGATAGCCTGGAAAAACACCGCCCCATTTAATCTCTTTAATCTCCACACGTTGTTCTTACAATGTGATTTTTCATATCTGAGTCTACAAATCGAAATGTCTCTAAGTTTTGTGTGTTCCTTGAAGAGTAAAACCAGTGAGCATGTTCAATATCCATCAAATTCATATTAGATCTAAGGTCATTAATTTTAGGGATGAGATAAATTGTCCAATTATTTATTTGGCTTTTCTCTGCCACTCCTTTAATCCATACATTATTTTTCTTGCTACAATCCAGTAAATCTGCCAATTCAATCTTTATTTCAGAAACACACTTTTCAATTTTGTCTATCTCAAGAATGTTATTTGTAACCATATTAGAAGCATTGCAAGCTCTCTGAGCAGTATCTATTTGCTGTTATATTTCCTTAACTTGTTTATTCATTTGCTCTGACATATATACCAAGACTTGTACACTGAGACTTGTATTCCCACAGAATGTTTGTCCCAGTCTGTATTTAGTTCTTGTTTAGCTTGTTTTATTAGTTGTCCAGTTACCACATCAGCATCTGTTCTTCCTCATGGGCAGTCCTTCCCTCTGTTGAGAGCCTCCTCAACCTCCTTCAAGTTTTGCAAGGAGACTTTAATCCCTTTTTCTTTAATCCCTTTCTTTTCTGAACATACTGCTTTACTAATTTCATTATCTGATAAAACATTTAGTAAGGGAAACTGGCTATATTAAACTAGCTATATATTAACTGGCTAGTTGGATCAGAAGAAGAGCAGAAAACCTAACATGCTGTCCTCACCAGAGGCAATAGATGTGTTAATGCAATTAAAATTAGCAACAATCAATTGTGGCCGAAACCAATTTAAATTGTTTTTTCAACATTTATATTTTTCAAATAATCCATCAACAATAAAAATTAAGCAATTTTTAAGGACATTCCCAGAACTGATTCTTGGTGCATGAGTGTATAAACTATTAGTTAGTTAGTTACTTATTAGTTAGTCAACTAAAAGTGATTATTAATAAAGTTATTAATATGAATCAATCAATCAATCAATCAATTAATAGGAATCAATTGGCTTTATTCCAAATCAAAATATCTCTACTCCTATCAAAAAATTGTTAAAGATTATACAGTTTAGTCAAATTAATAAGGATTCCCTAGCCATTTGTTCTTTAGATATATTTAAAGCTTTTGATTCTTTGAAAATACAATTTTATAACAAATATTAAATTTAAATTTGGGACTGGTTTTCATAAGATGTATGAAAATATTTATGGCTAAATAAAAGCTCAGATAAGACTATTATGATTCAGATTCCATTATGAACTCAAGAGGTACCAAGCAGTGTTGCCCTTTATCCCCTATACTATTCAACCCAGTTATAGAAGCATTGGGAATAATATATAGATATAACTAGCAGATTTGTAGGGTGAAAGTGGGAAATAAGATGTGAAAAAGGGCACCCTCTCTGAATTCTATAGTTTTACATATCAGGACATAGTAAAAAGCATATGGTCCTTAGTAGTTCTTTAAAAAATGAGAAAGCCAGAATATTATTTCGACAATGCAAACAAACCCGGGAGATGGCTATTGTATAAATTAAAAAAAGAAAAAGAGAAGGGTGTTATAGACGGTCTGGAGAACTCGGAAGGCAGAATAATAGAGGATGAGGAGGAGAAACTTAAGTTTGTCAGACAGTATTACGAGACATTATATAGTGAGGAGGAAACTTCAATCGATAATATTAACCAATACCTTGCCAAAGAGAAACTCCCACAGATAAAGGAGGAGGAAAGGGAAATGTTAAATAGAGAAATTACAACAGAGGAACTGAAGGGGGTAATATCCAAATTAAAGAGTAACAAAACGCCTGGTCCTGACGGCCTCCCAGGAGAACTATATAAAAATCAGAATCTGGCAGAAATACTTGTACCAAAACTTCTGATAATATGTAATGAGGCCCTGAGAGGCTCTAGGATCCCAGAATCGTGGAAGGAGGCGTTCATCACACTGGTAGGAAAAGAAGGTACCGATCCCAAGCAAATAAGGAACTACAGGCCGATCTCCTTACTCAACACGGATTATAAAATATTTATGGGAATATTAACGGGTAGGTTGAAGACAATACTAAATAACTGGATCCACCCCGACCAAAACGGGTTCCTCCCCAGTAGACAGATTAGGTCTAATATGAGAGTGGTGATGGATGTGCTGGAGTATTATGAAATACACTCCGAGAAACAGCTGGCCATGGCCTTCCTCGATGCTCAGAAGGCTTTCGACAACTTAAATTGGGGATTTTTGACCCAGCAAATCCAAAGAATGAATTTCGGGGGGTATTTCGAGAATGCAATAAAAGCAATTTATGATAAATAGAGCGCAAATATTTTACTGAATGGGGATGTAACTAAATCCTTCCGGATTGGTAAAGGGGTGAGACAAGGCTGTCCACTTTCTCCACTCTTATTTATATTAGCCCTGGAGGTATTGCTTAGAAAAATTAGGCAAAATAAAGAGATACGGGGATTGGAAATTAGGAATGAAACCTTTGAGATTCAAGCTTTTGCCGACGATGTTGTGTTGATAATGGAGGATCCATCAATAACAGGGCCAAAAGTATTGAAAGAATTAGATGAATACGGGAAATTATCAGGATTTAAATTAAATATGACAAAAACTAAAATGTTAACAAAAAATATTCCAATAAGAGAACAGGAAATACTAGTAAATAATTTGGGTATCCAAATAGTTAAGAAGATCAAATATCTAGGGATTTGGATTACTGCCAGATGTTCAACCTTAAAGGAGGATAACTATACACCCTTACTGACAAAGATAAAGCAAGATTTGGATAGGTGGGGGAAGTTGCAAATATCATTCCTCGGTAGGATAGCCACTGTTAAGATGAGGATTCTCCCCAAATTACTATACTTATTCCAAACTACTCCTGTTAGTATTGACAGAAAATATTTTTCGGACTTAAATGGGAAGTTTATCTGGGGAGGGAAAAAACCGAGAATTGCATTACGGTCCTTGCAGGAAAAAAGGAACAGGGGCGGATTCGGACTCCCAGTTTGGGAACTATATCATAAAGCGGCCAACTTAGTATGGCTACGAGAGTGGGCCTTATTAAGAGATAAGAGAATTTTACAACTGGAAGGGCACGACCTATTGAGAGGCTGGCATGCCTACCTCTGGGATAAAGGAAAAGGGACAGGGATATGTTTCCACCAACATAAAATTAGAGATACATTAATGAAGACATGGAAAGAAATCAGGCATAAACATTACTTAAAATACCCAAAATGGATATCTACAATGGAGGCACTGATCCATCCAAATACGTTAGGTAGGGAGAAAATGGTCACTTATCAAGATATTTTAGATAATTGTGGTAACCTTATACCCAATGAGATATTAAGAGAGCAAGGGATCCATATAGATTGGTGGCCTTATTTACAAATTAAATCCTGATATAGTAAAGATAAACAAGACAAGGGAATAGAGATGGGGACAAATAGTTTGGATAAGGTATGGCTAGGTAGTGAGAACAAACTATTAGCCAAATTATACTCCTACCTGCTCGAATACGACAGAGAAGGAGTAATACTAAAAGACCAAATGATCGCTTGGGGGAAAAACATCGAATCAAAGATAAATCTTGATGATTGGGAAGAAATATGGAATAGCAATCTTAAACTGACGAGAGCAACAACCTATAAGGAGAATCAGTATAAGATGCTATATAGATGGTACTTAGCACCATCTAGAATTGCTAAGATCTACCCAAATGCAAGCCCCAAGTGTTGGAAATGCGGCCACCACCAAGGTACCTTCTATCATATGTGGTGGACGTGTCCGGAAGCGAGGAAGTTTTGGAAAAAAATACAAAAATGGATCCAAGAAATATTAAAGGAGGATATTAATTTTTTGCCGGAAATCTATCTCCTGGGAGTGCTAAAACGAACATTTGGTAAGGACAAGAAATATTTGATTATTCATATTGTCACAGCTGCTAGACTCTCCTATGCTAGATATTGGAAAGAGAAAAGAGGACCAACCGAGGAACAGATAGTCAATAAGATACTTGACTGCGCAGAAATGTGCAGATTAACGTATGTATTAAACGGAAAGGAGGATTCAGAATTTTATACGATCTGGGATTTGTGGTATAGGTGGTTGGAAATTAAATGCAAAAGTTAATACTCATGAGGAATAATGCACAACTATTAGTTAATCCTATATATTATTATACCTTAATTAAACAGTAATTAATTTCATATATAAGAATTTTTGTACAAACTGTATAATTAGATAATTGATTAGACACCGCACTTGTAAATATTCAATATGACTACACGTTGCCGAACTGTATAGTTTGAATTGTAATATATTCTTAATTCAAT